ATCTAGAAGAGACCCTAGATTTAGAGGATACAATAAATTATTGTTAATGGATAGTGTTTGGAGAGAAAATGCCAATTAAAAAACTTACCTGTTGTCCAAATTTATCTGAAATAAATTAAGAGAAATTTGATCAATTCTCGTTATCAAAAATCAAAGTAGAATCTATTAGTTTGAAATAAAAATAAGATAACTCAAGTAGTGTTATATAATATAGTATGATTCTATTTAAATTATTTTTAAATGGATTGCAAGAAATAACAATAGATAAAACAGATGCTACTTCAATTATTGTAAATACTTTTAATAAAATCAATGATTTTGATAATTTGATGTTAAAGAAATTAACATTTAAAGGGGATCTTAAGATTAATAAAAACTTATTTGAAAAACTGTCGAAATTATTTGAGAAGTTAGAACTTTTCTAAGTTTAAAAATTATTATTAGAAAATGAATTTGAAATTTATGATATTTGCTCATTAATGGATATAAATTAATCTAAAAATCTTAAAATCATTATCAAATAAGTAACATGCAATAACCCAAATGAATTTTACAAGAAATTCCTATTCAACCCAAATGTTGGTATAACAGAAGTGATCTTAAAAGATCCCTCATTATTGGAAAATAAATTTGATATATATGACTTAGGGTAAAAAATAAGATACTTGAATTTACAAATGGGTCTATTGTACAATTCACACAATTAATTAAATGTTAATGCTTTATAAATTATCAGTAAAATGCTTATTTATAATGAATCAAGTAATTTAGAAGAATTAGTATTGCATTAATGTCATTTCAAAATAGAAGGAATACAAGCTCTATGTAAATATTCCAGCACCTTAAGAGAGAAGATTAAAAATGAAGGAAGAGATTAAACAGCTTAATTAAAATTAAAAAAGGCTACACTTTATTATTCACTTTATATTGGAGATGATGGTGTTTAAATATATTGTAATGATCTATTATATTTCGAATACATTAGTATTGAGAGATTTGAAGTTTAAGTAACAAATTGGAATGATGTAATGACTAATAGTTTATGTTTAGCAGCTCAAAATTGGTTGTAATACTAAAAATAGCATTAAAGATAATATAGAACAAAATACCCAATAAAATATTTAGATATAGGAAGAAATGAATTTGTTGAAGAACAAGAAACGTGGTCTAATTTTTTAAAGACATTTGTGTTTACTGATAACACTCCTGATTTAGAAACATTGAACATACATTTTATGGGCTTAAATGATTTAAAAAAAAGATATATAATAGAAGAGTCTCTTTAATTCTTTTCAAAAAAACCTTCAAATTATAAATTTAATGTTAAAAAGATTAATTTTTCTCAGAATAATTCATTAACTCATTTAGGATGGTAAAATTTATTTAAAAACTTAATTAAACATGATTAGTACTATGTTAGATAGTCAAATTAAATTAGATTACATAGCTTAAGTAATAAAAGATAGAGCACTTGCTTCCCCTAACAAAAAGGTACCACTACATACTTTCTTATGTTACAATGTTAGTCTTAAGGATTATGTTTCTGGCTTTTTATCTGAATAACCTCCAAATTACTAAGTTCCTTATGATATACTGTGGAGATAGAATATGATGATAGTCTAAATTTTGGATATTTTGATGGAGTCCCAGAATCTTCTGGTGAATTTTATAAATGTTTTAAAGGATTCTCAATTTGAGGTAGAATATTGTTTATCGCAAAGAATGGAAACTCACAAGATCAAAATTTTCACCTTATCATTTAAATATGTGTGATCATTATTTAAGAATACTAAATTAGTATTATACTTAAAAGGGCAATGATTTAGTAGATATTTACCTAAGTTTATAGTCTTTAGATAATTTTGCCAATCATTTTGGATATATAACTGAATATCCTGGATCAGCTTATCCATATAATTTGTTATTTTAATAAAACACTTTTGATTATTTTAAAGAGAAAACTTGTAATATCTATAAAATTAAATTTATTCAAACAGAATTTGCTGAATTAGAGCAAATAAACTAATTTTAAATTTTAAGATTATGGCATAATCTTAAACATCACAATACTAGTATTGATTAATTATAAATTGAATATGATTTAAATGATGATCTTATAGATGAAATGTTTAGATAAGGTTTTGATGAAAGAGATATAATAAATCTAATTAGATTGATTCCTCCTTCAAAAATTAGAATTTAGAATTCACTTAGCATCTAAGCCATCAAAGGCATATGCTCAATACTTTATGATACTTATTATTTTAAATATGCAATGATAAGTTATAGCTTTGATAATTTTCTCAATATTGGCATTGGTTATTCTCTAAGAGAAGTATTTTACAACTATAATGCAGCTGGACTAATTCGAAAGTTTTTTAAAATAGTATTCTATAAGTTTTTTAACTTTTTTGTTAAACCTACAAATAGATATATATTCAATGATGAAGTTAAGCAGTTAAACAATTATTTATCCTAATAAAAACTCTACTTTTTTATTATNCTCATTTAGGATGGTAAAATTTATTTAAAAACTTAATTAAACATGATTAGTACTATGTTAGATAGTCAAATTAAATTAGATTACATAGCTTAAGTAATAAAAGATAGAGCACTTGCTTCCCCTAACAAAAAGGTACCACTACATACTTTCTTATGTTACAATGTTAGTCTTAAGGATTATGTTTCTGGCTTTTTATCTGAATAACCTCCAAATTACTAAGTTCCTTATGATATACTGTGGAGATAGAATATGATGATAGTCTAAATTTTGGATATTTTGATGGAGTCCCAGAATCTTCTGGTGAATTTTATAAATGTTTTAAAGGATTCTCAATTTGAGGTAGAATATTGTTTATCGCAAAGAATGGAAACTCACAAGATCAAAATTTTCACCTTATCATTTAAATATGTGTGATCATTATTTAAGAATACTAAATTAGTATTATACTTAAAAGGGCAATGATTTAGTAGATATTTACCTAAGTTTATAGTCTTTAGATAATTTTGCCAATCATTTTGGATATATAACTGAATATCCTGGATCAGCTTATCCATATAATTTGTTATTTTAATAAAACACTTTTGATTATTTTAAAGAGAAAACTTGTAATATCTATAAAATTAAATTTATTCAAACAGAATTTGCTGAATTAGAGCAAATAAACTAATTTTAAATTTTAAGATTATGGCATAATCTTAAACATCACAATACTAGTATTGATTAATTATAAATTGAATATGATTTAAATGATGATCTTATAGATGAAATGTTTAGATAAGGTTTTGATGAAAGAGATATAATAAATCTAATTAGATTGATTCCTCCTTCAAAAATTAGAATTTAGAATTCACTTAGCATCTAAGCCATCAAAGGCATATGCTCAATACTTTATGATACTTATTATTTTAAATATGCAATGATAAGTTATAGCTTTGATAATTTTCTCAATATTGGCATTGGTTATTCTCTAAGAGAAGTATTTTACAACTATAATGCAGCTGGACTAATTCGAAAGTTTTTTAAAATAGTATTCTATAAGTTTTTTAACTTTTTTGTTAAACCTACAAATAGATATATATTCAATGATGAAGTTAAGCAGTTAAACAATTATTTATCCTAATAAAAACTCTACTTTTTTATTATTGTAATAACAAACATATTATTTTTTGTCATTACTTTAGCTGGACCCTATTTACTAACATACAAATTATTGGATAGAGATCCTTCGTAATTAACTAAGAATTATATCTGTGCTAATGGTGCAAGTAAAGAGGCCTCATATTTATATTACGCGTTTGCCTTCATTACTCTAGTAACTGAGGCAATTCTATATTATAAAGTGGCTTAAATAGTTCCCAATCACACTTAAAGGATAATTGTTAATAGAATAGGAAATCAAAACGAGGAAAATTAATAAAGAATTGATCAATAAATCCAAGAAAAACAAAATAATAAGATATTGCCAGCAACTGAGGATGATACTACGATGTTAAAAAAGTAAGTTTAATCACAAAATTCTGAAGTAGCAAGACAAAGTGTATTTTAAAAAATGGCAACAGAAGTTAATAAGAAAATTACATAGGCTGCTGGTAAATTTACTTCTGCTGTCACTGCTTAAGCAGAAGAATTCACTTAATCTAAATGGGGAATCTTCTTTAGTTATGGAATAGCTTTACTGTCCTCTTAATTATTCAAATTCGATTTATATAATGATGTTGTATTCATTTTGAATGCTTATAATTGTGAAGAGTTTATAGTATTTGTATTAGCTCTTATTACAACTGCATTCTCATAGGGGATTTATATTTTGCAATTCTTTTATCTCATAGGTGTTAGAGTAATTTAAAATGAAAAAACTGCCAAATTATTATCAAGTAAATTTATTAACGATTTTTATGCTATCAGTTTTCTTGGTAGAAATGCAGCACTTTCAGCACTCTTAGATTCTGCTGCTCCTTTTAATGTGATCATTATTCCAAATACAAGAATAGGAAGATATATATTCCCACATCATGCTGGGAAAGCAATGAGTAATTTAGTTAAATCTTATTTTTTCTAATTTTTATGTGAAGATTTACCTTAAATTTTGTTTTTAATGTATTTTGTTGTGAGTTAAGCTATTAAAAGATCCAAAGAACTTTAAGTCTAAGTTTATATTTCTATTTGCACAGCAATTCTAACTGCTATGTTATCATTTTATAAGTAAATTATATTAGTTATCTCTTAGATTTTTGTCGATTAGGCCTACAAATTTTTTATAAGAAAATTTTGATGATTTGTCATAAAAGCAATCGAATTTATACAATTAATAAATATAATATTGCTTATAACAAGAGAATGATTAAATTAAAACCTTTATTGATTTATATAACACTCCTGATTAAGAAGTTGTAAATGTAGAATAATCATAAGAAGAAAGGCAATCATTGTTAAATTGAATTTATTTATATTTTAAGGTCTATCCAATTATCATTATTGGTTAGATATTTCTTAATTTTATTAAATTCTCTTTCTTTAAGTAATATTTATTTTATATACGATAATAACATTGTAATAAAAAATTCATTTTTCTTTTTATTATTTTAAGTATATCACTTTAATAGATTTAAAAAATGAATAATATTTCTATTTTGATTAAGAATTAGCAATGATAGTTATCTGGTCTTATAAAACTCTTTTTCTAGACCCTTTAAATGATACCAAGTTATATCTGATAATTTAATGAAAGATCTTTTTTAATGGATTTTGACATGGTTTTCAGCCATTCCAAAACCTTAATTCATATATTAGCTATGGATAAATATGCTAAATACCTTAATAGTAATATAAAATTGATATTATTTGAAGGCTTGATTACTTAGATTCTGCCAATTCCAAATTATATTACATAAAACTTAAAAAAATCATCTCATAAGATTTGATTTTTCTTCTAAAACCTAGTGTACCTGAGGCCATGAAGCTAAATATCAATATGTAATTAGATCTCTATCATTAGTTTCGAAATCTTCAATTGACCTTGTCCATCATATGCACATGCAAAGCTTAGCGGATTAAAGGTAGAAGAAATGAAAAAATATTTTTATTGCACAAAATAAATTAAGAAAATAGGTATTAGATTTTTGAGTAAATAAAAAGTATAGTTAAAAATATAGCATCAATTTTGTATGGACTGAATATGAAAAGATATTAATTACCTCATTTACTCCATATTGCTATATTAATATCTGGATTCTTATTGAAAATTATAAGAGCAATTTATTTTGAATTATAAGGAAGGTATCTAATAATGTACTTATTTCATGAAATATCAAAAAAATAAGTAATGGATAGTGGAGGAAAGGAGAAATATAATAAAAAAGGAGTAAATAATGTGAATGTTAGATGCTCTAAAAAAAAAATTAGGGATTAGGCAATTGGAAATTTAATGAAATTTTTATGTTTACAAATTGCTTAAAGTTTTTTATAAACAAAGATTTTTGATATGGTTCCTAATTAATTCTCTTCTAGTTACTACTCTTCTGTTAATATTTTCTGGTGTGGCTATGAGGCCTAGAATATGAACTTTAAAAAGCTTATCCTCCACTTATATTATAATTAAATATATTTCTGTAAGATGCTATTATGATGTTCAGAATTTTCAGAGTGGGTAAAGTAAGTTTATATTTCAATGAAAAACTAAGAAACAGAATATAATAAACTGATTAAAAACCAATAATAGTATCTGTTTAAAAAAATGTATATTAATAAAAATTTGATAATATTTGGCAAATTTTTAAAACTACTTTATGGGATTCATCTTATTTGAAAGGAAATTGATACTAATTTCGTACAAGAATTGGATTAATCCTCGATACTTCATTTTATATCCATAATTCTGAAATTAAACTTTGATGAACTTGTATTAAAGACAGATCTTGTTTCTTAGCTTAATCCATAAAAATAGATGAAATTTAAAATTGATAAAAAGAAAGAAAACCAGTCAAACAAGCCTAAATCTTTATAGCATAAACTTAAAAAAAAAGAATTTATTTAATTGTTTCCTTCTAAAATTTTCCATATATTATGCATTTGAAACTACTTAAATTTGAAAAGCAATTAAATTGAATATATGTATTAAGTTTAAAAAAATAAGATTTTTTTTAAAACTAACAAAATTTATTGTAAAACTTAATATCACTACAATCTAGCAATAATAATAAATTATATTATTATTATTTCATTAATCATTTAAAAAAAAATAACTTTAATTTTTTTTCATCTTCGGAATTCCATTATATAGTAGGTTAAATGCACAAGTACCTTAGCTTTTAACAAATAATTTTTGGAAATAACAGATAATAATGTAAAACATAAATATTATCAATTTAAATTACATGACATATGTCATATAATTTTATTTAAATAATAATAATCAACTTCGTTATAAATTTCTTCAGGTATTGTTTCAACATATTTTTGGCATCGCCTATTTGCCAATGATAATAATTCGGCATCATCTTCATTTAAAAGATAAGGTTCCATTTAAGAATTAATTTTTTGAGCAGACTTACAATTCGAAAGACAAGTATCTTCTTTTAATACCGGGAGATTTAATTTAATACCAATTAAATGAGATTTTAAAAGTTCTTCTCTTAATTTGGAAGATCTTATTATTAGATATAATCTTGATATTTCATATACTAAATTCATGTAACATAACTTCTATTGCATTTGCTTTTTAAGCTTTTCATAAATTTTTTAATACTCTTTCTCATCTATTTATAATTGATTCAAAGTAACTTTAGTTACCTTGAATCTCCAATTCTTAATAATTTTAATATTTTTAAATTCTGGATAATATAAACTTATCAAATCAGAGATTACTTTTTAATATAAAGAATATTGATTGACTTAAATAATAAGATATTTAAATATAAAGAGTATTGATATAATAGATCCAACGTTTGCTAAAAGATCTCCCAAATTTGGATATTCAAATATTGTCTTCGTTTAAGTTCCATTCATTGCAACATATATCATTGCCAATGCTTCATTCTAATATGATTTTCTACATTTGCTTGGTGAAACAGATTGAGTTTATACTTTTGCTCCACTAATATATTCCTTTTACTTTGATGTTCCAAATAATAAATAATCTTAAAGTTCATAAAAATTTGTTTCTAGAAATGTATATAGTAGATAGCAACTCTCTTATTCAAGTTCAAAAAAAATATCTTAAATTGTAGTTTATTCAGATCCATCTCTAGAATCCAAAGTTGTAGATTCAATTTATAAACCAAAATAATTGAATTACTGTGAAAAAAACTTTTACTTTAATTCAGCTGAAGCACATTATTCACCTTCTTTCAAATACTTTTCTTCACAAAGTGTAATGTATATGAACATGTACTTAGATGTTTATAAATACCCATCAGCAAAAGTAAAACCCAAATCAAGATTTGGTACATACAAAGTTCCATAAGAAGCCTCTGTGTAATTCTCAATAATCATTGGTTTTGTTTAACGGTTATTATCAGCGTACATAACTAAAGGTAATAAAATTTTATTTTTGAAAGGATCCACAAATCCCTCCTCTACTTCAGCATAAATACTTATTTTTGCTGAATTAAAGTCGAGAATAGAGTAGTCCGATACATACTTTGAATTAGAAACCTTTGGACTCATTTATTTACTATTCCATAAATAAAATACCCATAATGAATAAGCTAAACTTGTTGCGACAATTAATAAACTTAAAAATCCTCCTAATGGACTTTTATAGAAAGTTTATTGATTTATATTTTGCAAAAAAGGGACACCAAAGAAATCAGCTTTTTTTAAAAAATTCATAAATAAAATTTAATTCATCTTAAAAAGTATCCATAAATCTTTTTTTCATAAATTAATTATTCAATAATAATAGAAGTTTATATAGTTTTTAAAATTAAGAGTTTCACCAAGAGGAGTTTGAATTACGACTTCTATAAGAATTCTGCATTAAGTTTTTATATTAAATTTAAACTACTATGAAAGTTTAACCAAATTTTTGTGTTTTCTTTGTTCAATCAATTTTTAATAAATTAATAAGCTACTTTTATTTCAAGCACTAAATTGAGTATTTTTATTAAAAATTCTTCAATAAATTTTTTATTCAGAAATGGATTAAATTAATTTATTTAGATAATAATAGATTAATTTTTCTCTATATTTATAGTAATCATATATTTAATATTTCTTATAATTTATTACATATTAATATGTTTAATTTTCAATATATATTTAAGGTATCAATGTTTATTAAAAATACAATATACATACAATTTATATTGAATTATAATATTAATGATAATTTGAAAGCAAATTAAAATTATAATAAGAATAAATTTAATTAATTAATGTCTGAATAGCATTTACAAGAGAATAAATTTACTTATGTAAATACATTGTAGCTAATTATCTATAGAGTTCAAATCTTGTAATTCAGAGGGAATCAGGACCAAGGACTGATGAGCCAACAGGTGAACCTGAATCATTGGTTGGAAAGATCAACCCAAGAATGATGGGTACCAAAGCTGTAAAGGATAAGCCAGTGAAAAGTAAGAAAGAGTAGAGTTTAAATTTGGGAAAGTAAGTGAATATGGAAATAGAGGAAGGAGTTGGAATGCCTACTTATGATAATCTATTATATATTCCAAAAACTAAGGACAATAGATTACACTATGAGAGATTATTGTCTATAGTTTATGGATTATTTTAGGAATAATCATAAGATGTGATAAAGTCTATTGTAGATGAAGTGTTGGCTATAATGAGATAAGAAGTAGAAGCAATAATTGGAAAGTTGACAAATGAGCTATTTTCAGATATTGTATTATCAACTAAAGCAATAACTGATTATAATCCTGAAATAACTTAAGGTAATACAGATGAGATGTAATTACCATTGAATTTGGAAGAAGAATAAGATTCAAGTGATATGGAGGAAATAATTGAAGAAGAAGATGATTCTCAAGAATAGAATGAATAGACTATCAAAGCAAAAGTACAAGTTGAAGAAACCAGAAACAAAATAGTTGATATAGATGGATTTTGGTTATAGCGGGAATTGTAGAAAATATATTAAGATCCAATAGTAGCATAATAGATGGAATAAACAGTCTTAGACATTTTGAAATTACAAACTGACATTGAATGTGAAAATTAATTGGTTTTATTGTTTGGTTAGGATCGTTTTGATTTAATTAGATTATTACATGCAAATAGACATAAAATATTTTATTGCACTCTATTAAGTAAGGCTTAGAGTACTGAATAAATTGAATAAATTCATTCTTAAATGAGATAGACATAAGAAGGTCTCTAAATTTTAATGGAATTATAGAAAAAGAAGAAAAATGATGCTTAATTTTAAATTATTTAAGAAGAAAACGAAAAATAATATTATGAATCAATAAATATTACTGATCAAGATCTATAAGGTCTTTCAAAAAAGATTATTAATCTAGAATAATTATAATTTGTATCTTAAGGACATTTAATGTCAAATGAGAAATGTCATTTACCTCCTCATTCTTTCAAAGTCACTAAGAAAGGATATGAGGAGATTTACATTCCTGCTCCAAAACCTAATGTTCATAAAGATAATTTAGTTTAAATAGGTGAATTACCTGAGTTTGCTTAATAAGCATTCAGAGGTTTCAAAGAACTTAACACTATTTAGAGTGTTGTATATGAAAAAGCATTATTGAGTAATGAGAATATGTTGATTTGTGCACCTACTGGAGCAGGTAAAACTAATATTGCTTTACTTACGATGTTATAAACTATTGGTGAATATTATCAAAATGGTATTGTTGACATTTAGAAATTTAAAATTATTTATATAGCACCTATGAAGGCTTTGGTAAATGAAATGGTACATAATTTTTAAAATAGATTAGAACCATATAATATTAAAGTTGCTGAAGTTACTGGAGATACTCACTTAACCAAACATCAATTGAATACTATTTAAGTGTTAATAGCTACACCAGAGAAATGGGATATATTGACTAGAAAAATATAATAAAATGATTTTATTTCTTTAGTAAGATTAGTAATTATTGATGAAATTCATTTATTACATGATAGTAGAGGCCCAGTTATTGAGTCAATAATTGCAAGATAGTTGAAATTAATGGAAGAGAGATAAGAAGTAGTAAGAATTGTAGGATTATCAGCCACTCTACCAAATTATTCTGATGTGGCTACATTTATCAGAGTTAAATAGAGTGGTGTATTCTTTTTTGATAATTCTTATAGACCAGTTCCACTATAATAATAGTATATTGGAATCAATGAAAAGAAACCAATTAGAAGAATGTTATTAACAAATGAAATTTTATATGAGAAGGTGATTGAAAGAATCACTAATCATAAATTCTAGTGTTTGTTCATTCAAGAAAAGAAACTGTTAAAACTGCAAAGACATTAAAAGAAATGCATTTTCAAAAGATGAATTATCTAAATTTATACGAGAGGAAAGTTCCTCAAAGAAAATACTGGAGACAGTAATTGCTTAAGAAGACATAAAACCAGCTGATTTAAAGGAATTATTAGGTAGCGGCATAGCAATTCATCATGCTGGATTATGCAGAGGAGATAGAGATTTAATGGAAAGTCTTTTCGAAAAAAAGAATATACAAATTTTAATATCTACATCTACCTTAGCTTGGGGAGTTAATCTTCCTGCTCATACTGTTATTATTAAAGGAACATAAATATATTCACCAGAATAAGGAAAATGGATTGAATTGAGTCCTTAAGATATTTTATAAATGATGGGTAGAGCTGGCAGACCTAGATATGATACATCTGGAGAGGGAATTATATTGACTACATATTAAGAACTTAAATATTACTTATCATTATTAAATGTTCAATTACCAATAGAATCATAATTTGTATCATAACTAGCTGATTAATTAAATGCTGAAGTTGCTTAAGGGAATATCAAAAATCTGAAAGATGGAGTAAAATGGTTAGGTTATACATATTTATATGTAAGAATGTTAAGAAATCCTTAATTGTATAATATTCCAGACTATAACAATGATTAAGCATTAATAAAATATAGGGCTGATTTAATTCATTCTGCATGTTTATTATTAGATAAGAATAGTTTAGCTATTTATGATAAAAAGAGTGGAAATATTGAAAGTACTATTTTAGGTAAGATTGCTAGTAATTATTATATCAAATATCCGAGTATGTAAGTGTATAATTAGCATTTAAAATAGAATATGGGTATGATTGATATTTTTAAGGTATTTTCATTATCACATGAATTTAAATTGATTCCAATTAGAGAAGAAGAAAAGATGGAATTATAAAAGTTAATGATGAGTGTACCTGTTCCAATAAAAGGATCTCCTGAAGATTCAACAACGAAAATAAATGTATTTTACTTCTAATGAATTTACTTAATAAATTTGAATTGAATTTTAAATTTAGATTTTTTCATTTAATTTTGATTTGTAAAATTTATAAAATAAATAATCAAAAGATTAACCATATTCTAATATCTAGTTTTTTAAAAGAATATTATACTTTGTTTTTTATACTTCATCAACACTTTATGAAACTAATGAATTAGTTATTTATGGAAATCTTACTTACTATTAAGAGGATGATTATTTAGATTTCTCAGTTTTTTAATTCTTAATACCTGATTTATCTAAAACTTAATCTTAATAAGAGTCTTAATCATCTTCTTTTTAAACATCATTTAATAACTTTTCATATTATTAAATTTATGATTTAAGAATTGCATTTTCTTTTTTCTTTATTATTAATTCTTTCATTAACATTTCTCTATCTCTTTCCTAAGTTTAATATTCAACTTTCAATTCCTTATATTTTTACATAAGTTAATGATTCTCATCATCAATTTTCTAAGCAATCTTCTTGATCCATTCCAATTCACTAATCAACTAATTCTCTTTTAATATGTACTCTTTATCATTCTAACCTTTCTTTTCTCTTTCTTCTTGAAATTGTTTCTTTATCTCATTTATTTTATTGTTAAAAAATCTAATAATATCTCTTTCTTAATCAACAAGGATTTTAGAAGTTCTCAATTAAATATTATTTATTCCATCTATAATTTTGCTATGATCTTTGTAAATCATTTCCATAATTTTCTTATCAGTTTAATCTAAAGCAGTTCTAGATCTCAACTCTTATTGTAATTCATCAATAGTTTTCTTAAACTCTATTTCCCTCTATACATATCTTGCTATTAGCTCTTCTCTCTGTTTTCTTTTCTCTTCATTATGCTATTATTATATTTCTTGCAATTTATTTAACCATTCTGTAGAATTTAATTCACTTTTATTAGCTAAACCAGATTATTGCCCTTTTCCTTTCTTCTATTTATTATCCTAAGTATTTTCACCCTTTTTAGCTTACAATAATAACTATTCCTATGTCAGCTTAGACGGTTTCAATATACTATCAGAACTAATTGCTATATATTGCTATGTTTATACTTTTAGTTAAATCCCCAGTAGTAGCATATATGCGATCTGCTATTTCCTGCATCTTCTACATACTTTTAGTATTTTTTATGATTTACTATTCATCAATTGTAGACATTTTAATTTATATATTAAATTATACAATAAATAATAGAAATATTTTAGTTTTCCTAAATATGTAATTTATTCTTACAGGAACTTAATTAAACATTTTATTTTTAACATTTATAGATTTAACTATATATTCGGAAATTGTAATTATAGAAACAAATAATAAATGAATATAACAATTTTTAAATTTCATGGTGTGAATTTATCAATATCATTCATTATGTTTTAACAAATCACTTTTCAATTATCCTAGTGAAGTTGTTGTTAATAAAATTGCTTAATCAAGTAATTTACTTTGTTAAGTTCTTTAACGAGTTGAATATGAATATTCTTAATCTAAAATTGAACATTCAGCTTAAGTGTTGTCAAATTCTTTCATTTTATTTTGTAATCTAACATAAACTTCTTATTTTTCATTTTCACTTTATTTCAATTAATTTGATTAACTGTCCAATATTCCTCTTTTATTCAAAAATTGTACCTGTCATTTCAGTAAGTGATCTTGAAGCTTCATTAAACAAATCTGCTATTTAATCTTTAAAATCAGAATAGGCTGTTTCTCTTGCCAATTCCGCTTAATCTTCTCTTGTTCTTTCAGTTTAGATATATTATTCAATTTATTTTAAAATTCCATTTAATTGTATTGCTAATTTTAATGCTTCCTATATTAAATCTAATTTTAATACTTCTTCACTTGTCTACTTTGAGAGAGACTAAAGTAATTATACAAAATGTTTATAACCTTCAAGTTTATAAGTATGCTTAACCGATTTTAAAACTTATTTCATTTCAGTAAATGACTCAAATTTGCGTTAACCTTTTTATACAGAGTCGATAAATTGATTAAAGCCTTATTTTATTTGATGGAAACCAAATAAAGCTTATTCAAGGTTATCAAGAATATTAGTGTAAGTTTCATGTTCTTTTTCTCTTTTTTCAGCTGCTTGTTTTAATTCTTACTTATAATCATTCTATCTTTATCAAATTTAAACATACTATTTCTTTTTATTTTCTTTCAACTGTAGACACACTCTATTTCACATTTGGATTAAGAGTATCAATATATGATTTTAAAGTAACAGATTTTATTTTATAATTATTGATTTGATCATTCAATTAACCTAGATTAATATAGCAATTAGTAGTTATTCTTTTGTATTATTCATCAGCTTTATTTTAGACTTTCTCGACTTATGATTGAAGATTTTATAACATATTGACCAAATTACCAACAGGCTCATCAGATTAAATATGCATTTGAATGGTTTCAAGGAGGGTTTGACCGAAATTATCATCATTAAGCTGAAGAATATAATAATGGTTACATCTTCCATAGCTTATTTGTATTGTGCACTTGTCGCATAAGTGTATACGAATAACACAAACAATAATAATTTCATACTAAAATAAATGAAAAATAAATCCGTTTTATTTCATAAAATTATAATGACATATAATTGAAAATATCTTCCTTCCAATAAATACACGCTCAAGATAACTCTATGGTAAATTTATTTAGCAATCGTAGTATCCAAAATAAATATTGGTTTATAATCAAATATATTAGTTAAGAGTTTTTGACATTGCTTCTTACAGGCTTTTCACTACAATTACGTTTTCCTTATTCGAATCATTTAAATATTAAAAACTCTAAAAAGTTAAAATTATAATATACCGAAGTTCTATTCATTGCATTTTTAACCTTGTAAATAATAAAGTTTTTATTATTTATTTTGGAGATCTTTTCTAGGAATTCTTAGTAATGCTCTTCAACTTATTTATTGTAGATATATATCACAATATCACAATTTTTTACATAAACTAAATATAAATTTATAAATTTTACCATCAACGATATCAGTAAATTTATTTGAATGAACACTGTTAATCCAAAAATGAAAGGTGATTTGTTTGTTTTTATTGAGTTCAACTTTTGAAACATAATCAAAATCCTTTTATTGATAAAACTCTTGACCACAATACTCAAAGATTGTTTAAGAATCATTCTCAGCATCCATTACAATTATTTTAACATTTTATGCTTCCAACTATATTTCTTCTTCTATATCCGTGTTCTAATAAATTAGATACAATATTACATTTGTTTCCATCTCATCAAAATCAAAGTTCATAATATTTTATGTTTGTTTCCTAGAAACACCCTCATAATAAAATAAATCTTTGTTCCAAGCTGTTTAAGCAAGTTGAATGTATTCTTCAGTTGAATCTGAATGAATTGCACCAAATCTTTTTCTCATTTTATATTTTGTTATTTTAAAAATTACTAGATTTCAAGAAATATTTGTAATATAAACTCAACCATAACTCATTCAAATAATTTAATCCGTCATTATATAAATCATCATCATAAAAATAATACAAAGTACAATTATTCAACTTTATTCATTTTTCTCTTCATTCTCGTCTAATTCTGTAACCCATTCTATTAGATCTTTTTCATATTATTCTAATTCCTCATAATAAAAATCTAAAACAAAACGTTAACAACCTGAACCACAAAATTCTTCTGGACCTTTTTATTCTGGTTCTATTGGTCTTTCTCACTTTTATTTAAAATTTCTCATCTGAAAATTGATCTTAAAACTTTATTCTTTACATAAATTAGATTCATCTATTCTATCAAATAACTTAATATTTTATTTTAATTAGCTAGCTATCTAACTCCATTAATTCCTCCTTATTTATCTAATATAAATTAATAACATATTATTATTCATCATTTATTCTGTGTTTAAAGTTCAAATTTTTCATCCAATTCACTTCAAAATGGAAAGATAAAATTTATCCAAAAATTGTTATATTATAATTATGCCATTAATTATTCATTTTTGGATTTATCTAATATTATTTTAATTCTCATTACACACATTCTACACAATTTATTCTATCTATGAATTCAAAATTGAATCTTCACCCCTAAATCTATAATATATAGAATAATTTTGCATGTCTCATTAAAAATTAGAAATTATCCTTTTTAAAGTTAAAACCACACAGTTTCAAATTTAAATATTCTATAAAGGTTTACTTAGGTAAGTAAATTCTAATCTCGAAGTGCAAATTTTAATTCTTTTGTATCTATCCTCTCAACTTTCAAATATGAAAATAAGTTCTCCCTTTGCAATATACATTTTTCTTCTCCTAATAATTAGATGAGCATTAAAATTGATTCAACTTTATCTCTTGTAGAATTAATTTTTTTAAAACCTCATTTTATTCCAATTATGATGAATCATTAATATTAATAGAATTAGATTGTTTCGTATTATCATACAATAAAATCAAATCTTTAAGAATTTAATCATTTCCTCTTTCAATTGTAATACTTTTTAAATAATCTGCTTATTAAATTATTATATCTTTAATCTATTGATTCTTATTCAACAACTTTGATTTCACAAATTTATAATCTAGCCTAAGATTTTGAGATATTTGTCAAATCATCATTATTTTTATTTTTGTAGCCAACTTATTTTAATTTAGGAGACTCAGAAACTATTTTTTCAATATCCTAATAAAATTTCTGAAACATAATATTAATCGAATTTTGTTAATTCTGATAAATCTTTTAGGGTCTCAAGTTCTTACATTTTATATTTGGAAATACAATTTCTTATGGTTTAATAAACTTAGTCAAAAATGTAGTTATTTCATCAAAATTTTCAACTTAGATTTAATGGATAACTAAAGGGATTGGAGATGAGTAAACAACCTTTTCTAAAAATTCATTTAATTCTTCCATTTTTATTTCTTATATCGATAGGTTTTATAACTAAAAACTTTATGAAGACATTCTGAATTCAAAATTAAACTATTTTTTTCCAACATAATCATTGTAAAAATTATTCAATAAAATAAATTATAAAAAAATTCATATCTAAAAAATATCCTTAAATTGTTGAATTACTAAATGTAGTATAAATTTTTGAGATAATAGATAAGAAATTGGATTATATAATATTTAAATTATGCACAAATGTAATCAATATTAAGGTTTTTTCAATTTTTCACCAATCCCAAAAGTTTCTCTTTTTCTTTTCAATACCTTTTCTTTCATAACTAAAATTTGTATCTTTGGAGAATCGAACTTTTTTTGAATTTTTAAAAGCAGTATGTGTTGATTTAATTGATTTACTACCTGAGAAACTACGATGTGTTAAAGATCTATTTTTTAAAATGCTTTTATGGCTTTTTTAAGTTTTACTATAGCTACTTGATCCTTTATCATCTGCTGAAAAGAATTCACTAAACATTTTTTCATAAGCATCTAACATCATTTTTTTTTTAGAAGAACCTTTACTTGCATTATTACTTGCTAATTCTTCTCTTGCTTACATAATTTTCATTAAAGCACTTTTTCTCATAATATCAGATTAAGATGAAATAGATTTATCTTTGTTAGGAGGGGTTGGAGTTTTGGAGATTTAAGATTTTTAAGAAACTGTATCATTATCATTTCTTTTAGGTGCAAATTGAGAAGTTGATTTTGGTTAGAATGGATTTGTAATTGAATGATCATTTGATTAAATAATTGAATTTTAAAATGAGAATTAGATTTCTAATTCATCTTTTTATTTTTTAATTTATTCTTTTCTTTATAGTTCAAGTTCTTACTCATATATTTATTGAATTTGTTTTAAATTTTCTTATTCTTCTTATATACTAGATATCTTAATATATATATATACTTTTTCTTAATAATGTATTTTATTTCTTCTTCAATATCATGCATAAATCTGTTTTTTCGATCACACGATATATCGAAATTTTAAATTCTTTTTTTAAATAACTTAATTTCTTTAGATGAATGAAATTCTTCTCCAATATGGTCATCAAAAACCATTTTTTATGAACAAATATGATGAGTCTTTGAATCCTTATCTGATTCATTCCTTTATTTATGTTTTTACTGCATTGTGATTTCTTATTCTATAGTAATTTACTATCTGCATAAAAGTTGACAAGCTCCCATTAATTAATTTAAAAATCAATTCTGACAACTTTTTTTTCAAGACGAGAATAATTTGTTTTTTTTTTAATATTATTTTTAATTATCTTGATGAGAGGTTGAGGAGTTTTTAGATTATAAACTAAAAAAATAAAACTTAAAATCTTTATATTATTTGATTTCAAATAAAAATAATATGAAAAGTGATATCATAAATGTATTTTCTGTAATTTTTATTTGAATACACAATTTAGATCATAAAAATACAATTAAATAGATTTTTGATGAAATGAAAGTTTCAAATATATATCTCCAATTAAAACTTTATATAAATATACTTAAATGATCTTAACAAAATTATTTGATAGTCTTTAGAAAATGAAAAGGAAGTATTTATGAAATATATTTAAATATGAAATGGATGATTTAAGATTTATATAAATATTTTCACATTTCCTAGGTATCTAATATTAATCTCATACCTATTCATTAAAATTAAATATAATATGTCTAATTAGAGAAGATCTGAATCTCAAACCTCTTCCATCATATATACACCAATACCATTAAGACTTTAATTTAGTGCATCTCGTTCTAGTAAATAAGGTTCAAATTCTAACATTCTTTGGGATAGCACTTCAAAGCACTCATATGTGTAAACTCATTCGTAAAGTCCTCGGAAAGTTTTGTATGTAATTATCACTTATACAAATAGACTGTAAACATTTGAATCCTTATATCATGAAAGGCCCAATAATCCTATGACAAGAGATGAAAAATTTAAAGAACTTGAAAATCTCATCTCTTCTTTTGATTCTGAAGCTTTCATTCAAGATGTTGAACCTTTTGAATGAGCTCTAAATACTTTTGAAATGTGAATTAAGTATTTTCATAATAAAGTATAAAAACTGAATAAAAACCATCAATAATATTTATATCTCGTATGATCAACTGAGTAATCACAAATCATACTTATCTCTTTCATCTGTATATCTAAATATACATCATTATTATCATCATCATATTTTTTTCGAATTTTATAATTATAATTGATATATAAAAAACTAGTACTATTTTATTCTTGATCTATCTTTACACTCTCATATACTATCCAAATGAAATAATCAAACCTAATACATATACTATTACTCTCAAAAAGTTAAAGAGTATAGATTTTAATGAATAATTACTCAATTCAGATTTAAAATATCATTTGAGTTGAGTCAAGAAGAAAAGGAATAAATCAAAAATTTTAATTTTATTTTAAAATATTTAGATAGATTTTCATATATATTAGATATCTTATATTCCGTTAAAATTTTGATATTTTATTAAATATCTTCTCTATTTTTAATAAAATTTCTTTGAAATCTAATTAGTTTAGTAAAATCAAAAACTATCAGACTTATTTAAAAGCAAATTCGATGGACTTTTTTATTTTTGAAATTTCAGAAAAGCTGTACTTAACTTAATAAGAAAAAAAAGTAAAAATAAATTAACATAATTAATGGTTGAGAATTTTAAAATATCGATATTCCTAAATTAAAAATGAAACCTGTTAATTTTAGATGAATTAACAAATTTTAAAGAGGACTTAGCTTTCTTACAATAAACAATAGATATCTAAAACTGATTAATAATTTTTTAACTCAAAAATTTAATTGAAAAAAAGGTAGTTTAATATTCTATTTTAGGAATTCTTAAGTTAAATGATAATAATTAATTTAACTTAATATTGGGAAGGAAATCAGTGATCATTATGACTAATGACATTATTACAATGTGATTAATAATAAATATAGGGACATATTTTAAAAGATCATAAAATTATTTATATTTAAAGATGGGAAAAGAAAGAGATCATTGAAATTATTTAAGCCAGTTCATTATTTTGTAGATGAAAGTTGTGATATTTATATCCATCTTTGTTTTTATTTTAAATGTGAAAGATTTTTTGACTATCTTCATGTAGTAATTTTTATTCTTTATGATCAATCTTTAAATTCTCTTTCAAAGAGTCATAATCTTAGGAAATCAGAGAATATTATACTCATTTCATATGAATAGAATATATTTTATGTTGTATTAGACGCAAAGACAAATTGGATACTTTTAAAGCTTTATTAAAATTAGGTTATATTTGGATAAAGATTTAAATTTATTTCTATTGCTTCTTTTGGGTTCAAGAAACTTAGAAAACCGATTTTTAATTAAAAAAAAATAAATAATATATTTCTATTATCGATCCGAATTAATCATGTCAAACAACAATAGACTAATAATAGGAGATTATACAGTTAAATTAGATGAGATATTAGGGTCTGGATCTTTCGGAAATGCATACAAATGTTATAAAAACAATAATAAGAATGTTGAGTATTGTATGAAAATAATTTAAAAAACATTTAATACTGATTAAAAAAAAGAGAAGAATTAAAAGAGATAACTTGAAGCAGAAATATAAACATTTCAATAATTAAAAAATGAGGAATGTGAAAATTTAGTAAAAATGATTGATATCATTGATTAACCTTCTTAATTATGTATTGTTATGGAATTGTGTGAATATGATTTGTCTAAAGAACTTAATATGATAAAAGAAAGCTAAACGTGGCTTTCTCGATTAGAAATAGTTGATTTGATAAAATAAATTTTAAAAGGAGCTATTGTATTAATACGTAATCATATTATACACAGAGATATTAAGCCATAAAATATTTTGGTGAAAATCATAAATAAAGGTTAATAGAACCAAAGAAAAATTTACAAAGTAGAATATTGTTTAACCTAGTTTCTAGATTGCCGATTTTGGTTTTACAAAATACCTTGATGATGTTTACGCTAAAGCCAATTTAACAAGAGTGGGAACCTTAGTTTATTGTGCACCTGAAATACTTAAAGGGAAGGAATTTTCATGTAAATGTGACATTTATTCATACGGAATCTTACTTCATTAAATTACTTATGAATTTACTTTTCCAAATAATTATGTAAATTAAAATTAGATGAAAACTTTTGTACTTTCTATTTAAGATAAACCATATTAATGTCCTAAACTCCAGGGACCATATGGTGATGAGATTTGTAATTTAATTGAAAGAATGCTTATTTATGATTAAGATAAAAGATTGTCATTTGAAGAATTGGAATCTCATAAAATTATGACAATGCCTTCTCCAATACTCAAGGATTCAATCTTTTTACCTATTGAAAGAAACTATAATTAGAAAGATTATTAAAAAGAAATTTAAAGAAATGAATAAGAAAAATTTTCAAGATTACATTTACTAATAGATATTTTTTATCGTAAATTCTTACTTTGTAAATGGTTTATTGATTTTATGAAATAAACACTTGTTTTAAATAATATTTATTTCTTGATTTTATAATAGTTAGTTGAATTGATTGGATTTGAATAATTAAACTATGGATTTGCTATGATCAATGTTATTATAAATGATTTTGAACCTACTATTTTAAATGACAATGATATTCCTTAATTAATTTAACTCTTAAATTCCTATTTGAACAAATCTTAAGAAAATGCAACATATCTAAATTTACATAAAAATATACTTTAGGAGTATCATAAAATCAAGAAAACTGTTGAAGAAGATTTTAATGCTTTAATATTACTTAAAATTTAAAAAGATTGGAATTATAATTAAGATGAGTTTAGATTGTTAAATTAAGCCAAAACTAAAAAGTTATCAATTTAAAAATGTTGCTAAGTTTTGTAAGAGTTTACAAATTAATTAGTTATTAATGATTGGATAAGTAAATGTGATAAGTAATAAAAAATTATGATAATTTTAGGCAAACAAAAGAGAGACTTGAAACTATTAAAAAGATTGACACTCAATTTCAAATTGCACATTACAGAATCATAAATCCTGATGATATTTTTAAAATTTGATTATACTCTTAACATTTATCAAAAAGTAAAAAGTTTATAAATATATTAAAATTACATTCTATATATATTGAATTGATGATAAAGGTAGGTAGTTAGGAAATTTAAATTACTTATATTGGAAAATAAAATAAAAAAAAATAATAGATATATAAGAATTGTATATCATAATTTAAGTAATTCATTTTTTAAATCTTCAATTTCTTGTTCTCTTTTTTTGATCATTTTTTCCATTTAATTTTCATTATCAGTATCTTCTTAATTAATGAATAAATTCATAGCTTTTAATTTAATATTAGTTGATCCGACTTTAATAATTTGATCAGGATCAATATAATAAAATGTCTTTGGTTTAATTTCAAGCCACACACCAAAAGTACTGAATTTCCAACTATCACTCGACATTTAACCATCCATAATAATCCAATTATTTGTAGCAGGATCAAACTCTATAGTACCATGATTTCTAGATACTTAAGTGGATTAGAATGAAATATCTGAGAATTCCATTCGACCAAAAAAAAATTTATTTTTTTAATCAGCTACAAGTAAGAAATGTTCGATAGGATTTTCATCTCTTTATGTTTATAATAAAATGCAATTTTTCTCTAAAGCTGCATATAATTTCTAATTTTAAGTATAATATTATTTACAGATTGTATCATCAGATTTTCCTCCTCTAATTATGAAAGATATTCAGCTTTATTTATGGTTCTGTCTTAAATATGCATAAACAATTCTGATATACTTTCATCAATTCCTGAAAATTGAACTTTTGATTATAGAGATTATAAAGCTTCAAAAACCATGTCTATTAAATTATCTAATGATGAATATCGTTAAAAAAAATGAAGAAATTTAGAATATATTTTTCTAACTGTTAATTATGGTTAATAACCTACTCTAAATATATTATTATCTTCAAGTATTTGATTCTCACATTTTCTAGTAATTTAAATAAATGTAGGATAACCTCTCATTGATGAAATATCTTAAATTCTTATTTTCTATTTATTTTAATAAATGGATCTGGCTATTAATTCCATTGTTTTAAAAGAAATAGTTTTTGGATTTTTTTCAGAATAGAGTTAATGTATAAATTGATTACAATGATCCTCCAGAGTCATAACACAAATTAAATTAGAATAATCGACAAGTAAATGGAAAGGACTCATCATTTCTTCATTTGGACATACAACTCTATTGAAGAGAACAACTGCCGAGTAATTATTATCTAGATCGACTTATTCTTTATCTTATCTTCCAATACTAAAACCTAAAGGATTAATAGTTCATTACATTTAACCTCAGCATCTAAATCAATTTAGGCTTAGTAATCAGGTTTAAATTGTTAAGTCTTATTTAATGAATTAGAGACCTAAACTAAAATATGCCCAGAATTAATTGATTGATGATGTAAGATTGGTTTATTTTTCTTAAAAAAGATTACTTTATAAGTATTATTATTTAAGATTTCATTTTACTTGTTTGAATAAGCTTTTGTTTTCTTGATAGCCTATACTCCAGAAAAAAGCTACTCTGTATTTTCATTATTCATAATAAAAAAATATATATATATTTGTCTTAAATTAATATAAATATTGAGAATTTCTATTAAGCGGAAAGATATGTAATGAATTTGAAAAGATATAAGAAGTTGTTTGAAATAGAGAAGATATAAACAGAAATGAAAATAAATGAAAATTTGAAATTGATTAGATATAATATCAAATGAAAATAAACTAGATTAATAATAGTGAAACCATTTGTATAATTATACTCCATGATGCTTCAATAACAGGTAAGGATGTAACTCCATTGAAAGATGCAGTCTATATAATATAAATAGATAATACTCCTTTATATAAAGTTCTTCCATTTAAATTTTAAATTGGTCGATTATTGGATTAGGATGGGAAGTAATCATCATTATCAATAAAATCTTTGAATTATTTAAGTTATGATTTTGAAATGGGCAATGGTGAAGTAAATACATACCAATTAACTGTTTAGGAACAAGGTCTAGTGTAGAAAAGTAAGGAAATACATAGTTGTAAGACTGCCTGCGTAATGATAATAGGTTTTGTCAGTCATTTTTTAAAAGAAATCACTATTAATAATGGTCAGTGATTATACTTCATATCAAAAGAAGTGACTTTATTAACTGTATCATCAAACCATGGTTTAAATACTTCATAATCAGAAGCAGTGTTAGTCTATTAAAAAAGTAATCCAAAGACTGTGAGTTTATTTCTAATATCATTACAACTTTATTCTCCATCTTCGACAGCCTCATAAATTAAAAGAATACTTGATGCACAAAATGAACTTCTAAGTCAAAGTTTTTTCCATCTACTTAATGTTCAGATGGTGAATGGAAATGGAATTATCTAGCATAGTATTTGTATTATTAATTTGATATATCGAATGCTGTAATAAAATCATATTCTCCTTCTAATTCTTTAGTATAATCCCCTAAATAAATAAATCAAAAATATTACGTTAAGCTTCCCAATAGTTTCTAGTTGAAGTTTTCAGTATATAATTAATAGCTGGAAATGAATTCTCTTTTATTGCTGTAGACGTTACTATATTTATAGGGGATTGAAAGCTAGCACCACATGTAACGACTTTACCTATAAAAATTATAATTAAAAAGTACTTTTCCATTCATCTGAGTTTAAGTAATTCCAATCAGAAGGATCTGTATCTCCCCAAGTTGAATTTTTTATACCATCATTAAAAATTGGATCTGGTAATTGACAATAGGTTCTTTAACTTACAAACTGATCTATCAAACATATTAAAAGAATTGAGGAAAGAATCATCTTTAATTTAAATTATTATTATTATTGCATTCTCAGAATATTCAAGCACTAAAGTATTCTTATTAAATTAAAACATTCATTTATTAACAACATTCATAGTTATAATAATCTATACACACGAAGATTACAAATGAAGAATTTCTGTTACTCTCATCCAATATAGGAATTACTCTTAAAATTTTGATTCTATCTTAAATATAATAATATTATTATTTATTAAAATATCCTTTTTTTTATAGAAAAAAAGCATTTATTATGTTGTTTAATTCAAAAATATTATTATATATTCATAGTCATTTAAATATTCAAAAGTAGATAATTAGAATAATTAAAATGTATCATCTTAAAATTAATTAATATTTAAAAACTATTATATAAGCAATTCAATAGAGGTTCCTTGAATCTTTATATCTTTAAGCATATATATTATAATTAATAATCATTTTTTGGCTTTAGAATTACCCCTTTATTATTAGTTTGCAATGGATAGATTGCGCTATATTTAAATATTAAATTATACCCCTTATAAATTAAGCACTGAAATATCTTTTGGAGGTTTAGTATTAGTAGGTTTCATTGGTTATTAAAATTATAATTATTTATCTTTTGGAGGTAGTACTTTATTTTAAATAGCAGATCCTCCTCCTCCATCTCTTTTATTACGAGATTGATCTCTAACTTTAGGTTTTGATTAAGATTAACTAATTTCATCATAATCTTCTTAAATAGATAATTCCTATTTATTAAACTATTTTCTAGGGGCACTCTTATCTCTTTGTTTAAATTAATTAGGCGAATTTTATTTTAATTCTTCTTTTTTTATAAATTCTTTGAATTGATCTAATTCTGCCAAATCTTCTAAATCATCATCTTCTTATTCTTATTGAAATTCTGGGTCTTCTAATAAATCATCTATGTATTCAATATCTGTTTCTTCAAAATATTTTTCATCATCTTAAGTATCATTTATGAGTTTCTTTTAATTTTCAACAATCATTTTTAGATCATTAATTGTTTTTTCTTAAATTTATAAATTGATTTCTAATTCAACATTTTATAATTCTAAAACATGATTTTTAATTTCTAATTCCAAATAATCTCTTTTTTCTTTACTTTGAATTCTTTTCGGTATGGATTCTCTAATTTTTTTAGCATTATTAATATTTTCAACTAATTATAAACCCATCAATTCTTTTTTTATCATATTCTTTTCAGTACTAGTTTTTAAAGTTTAAATGCTTTTCAATCCTTATCTAATATCTTCTGGCATAGCTTTTTCTCCAGATTTTTTCCATTATAAAATTTCACTTTATCTTTTTTTAATTTCTAAAAAATTCATAGCATTTTATTCTTCAATTTCCATAAGTGCTCTTCTTAATTAAATTCTTTCTTAAAAATTTTCAAAGATTTCTTCTTATATTGATTTTAATTCTTCAATTTCAGGTTTACCATTTTTATTAATATAATTATTGATAGTAATAGATTCATCTTCATTATCATCAATTTATTTTTCATTCAATCTTGATTTTAGGGATTCAATTTCTGATCTAAGATCACTAATAATATTTTTATATTCTGCAATATGCATAGCAACTAATTTTTTATTAGGTAATTATTTAGTTTTAATATTTTTAGCTCTATTAGCATATTTTAAAGTATTAATAGTTTCTTCAAATTAAGATGATGCTGGTGAAATATTAGCAATCATAACAGTTCTACAATTACCACCTAAAGAATCCTTTAAAAGTCTAGTTAATTTACTATCTCTATAAGGAACAAAGAATCCTTTTTTACTTTTATCTCCTAATGCATTAATACAATTTGCAAGTGCTAATAAAGATCTATTAATTTTAGCCCCTTCTCTTAATCTTAAACCTCTATTTTCAGTAACAGTTCCTCTTTCACTACCTGCTAAATCAATAAGACTTAATTTTCCATTCATAGATTCCATTTCAGTGTTTTTTACTTTACTTCTTTGAGTAACATTAATTTAAAATACTGCATGTGATCTTGAAGATGTAAGATTTGCATTAGTCGCCTCAGTTGTTCTTCTTCTATTTCCTTATAACAATAAGTTCATAACCTACTAAACACTTATTGCTTTATACTCAGTAACTCCTGCTATTGTTACTCCCTTTATCGGATCATCTCTCAATTCCAAATATTAGGATTATTAAATTAGCAAATCACGTATAGCTTCATTATATATTTCTACATAACTTATCATTACTATGTATTCATTATCCAAATCCTTTTTTATGAATTCAAACATATCTCTTATTGTAAGTACACTTATTCCCATTGTCTCTTAATTTCCTAACATTGTATAAGTCTTCCCTGTTCCTGTTGGACCATATGCAAATACTGTTGCATTATAACCATTCATTACAGGCTTTATCAATTATTTACATGTTTATTCAAAGATCTAAACTATACCAACCAACATCTTACATCATCCTAACTCTCTTCTCTAAACACTTTATCAAACGCATAACGTTGTTCTTTACTTCTATGATATACTTCTAACATTTTCTTATTCTCTGCTTCGTATTCCATTTGTATTGGGTCTAAAATTATCTGGATTAGTCATCCATATTATACTATACAATTAAATTATCCTCTACTCTAACTATGTCTAAATCATCGTTCGCTATTTCTTTTTAATTAAGAGGTCTACAACGAATTGCTACCAAAATATTCGATTCTTCCGCGTTCATGATAATTTATTTTATAAAATTAAATGTATAACTATTTTTTTTAATTTCTTATTCAATACCCTTTTTCAATTATATTCTCTCTTCCTTAACACTTTTACTTTCTTTTCTTTCTCTTATTCCTATAATTCATTCAATATAATAATACTTTATTTTAACTTACTACACATTAAAAAATATTATTTTTATTCTATGCTTCAATTTAATAATTTAAATAATCACTTTTTATTTACACTTCTAATTTCAAAAAAATAAAATCATAACCTTTTTTTATTCAAAAAAGAATTTTATATCTAATTTTAATATCCACTAATTTAGAACCCCAATTTAAAATCACTTTTTAAAAGTATTTACCAATAGCAAAGTAAAATATTTATATTTTTTAACTTAAATATATCAATTTAAATAAACTTTCTCTAAAAATTAAGCTCATTTAATAAATATATTCTTATTTTTAAGCATTTTTTTTTGATTTATCATCATTAAATGTATGTCATTCAATGTATAACTAGTTTTCATAGAACTATATCCTAAAAAATAGTTATTTTTAAAAAATCACATAATTTATTTAAAGTTTTAAGTAGAACTCTAAAACTTTAAAATATTACAGCATTATCTTTATGACATAATATCAAAAAAATGTATATTTGATAATAAAAGCCAATATTATTAAAAAGTGAGGGTTTTTTAAAAAATTAAATTCTGTATATTGCTTCATAAGATATTTATTTAATTTCTATGTTAAATACTAAAATTATTAATTATTTATTACCAATAATTTAAATATCAGTTAATATTTTTGAAAAATGAATAATATATAAGGATATGGATTAGAAAAGCCATCAGTTAGATTACATCAAGCACCTGGAGGAAATTCATCAATCTCATTTGTACATACCATATTTAAAAGCAAAAGGGAGACTATACACCTTAATAGGAAGTAGTTAAACCATTGGGAAGAAAATAAGTCAATCAACCTCCTGTTTAATAAGAAATATAGGATAATAAAACATCAGTTAAAGTAAGAAATCCTCCAGGTGGTAGATCTTAAATTTAGTTTGGATGAGTATAAATTATACAAATTACTAAAATCATTAAATCATAAATCCTAAAATAGAGTAATATCATCTGTTACTTCATATACTTGTTATTGAGCTTCTTCAGCAGCTAATAGCAATTTAACACATAAACCATTCATATTCTTTTCTGATAAAATTCGTAAACTACTTGAAGAAGTATATTATTTTATAAAAATCTAAATAAATATAAAAAATACTCTCAAATATCATCAGATGCAATCAGATTCATAAAATGAATCCAATTTTACTTACAAATTAACTAAAAAATTATTCAAAACTCCAGAGAATTAATAATCGACCAATATTCTATCCTACTTTGTCTCAAAAAGAGTAGAAAATTCCATTTCTATTCGATATTATTGTTTAATTAAAAAACCATCAAGATTTGATCTTGCGATAATTCAAAAACTGAAAGTTGGCCATTAAACCTTCTTATTATTTGTCTATTATCTTCTCAATGAGCATAATATAATTTATTAATTCAAAATAATAGTAATATAACTAGAATTATTTATATTATTAATTTCTCACTTTATTTAAAATTTTATCAATCTATCTTTTCTTATTTCTATGCTATGCTGATATTATTAGTTATTTAAAACTAGTTAATTGTAATTTATGTAGGCTTTTTTTTTAAATAATTTATGCATGTTTATTTTTTTTAAATTATTATAAATATATATTTTGAGTTCACAAAAAAATTCATCATTAGATTAATTAAATAATTTGTTGAGTGAGTTGAGTCTATTTAATTGAAATTTTGGTTGATTTAATGTAGTTTTTCCTCCTACTTGAAGATTTTAGATTCTACATATTTTATTTAAATAAAAATCCATTAATATAAGTTTTTATGTAATGGTCTATTAATATAAGATTGATGATTAAATTACAGATATTATTCAAAATTTTATATGAATAAAATATTAAATAATAGAATTTAATTCAATAAATATATTGTCAAAAATTTGAGAGTTGAAGCTGAATTGAAGTTTCCCTAAATGGACATGATATTGGAATTAAATATAAATTTAAAAATATTTATAGAAAACAATTTGTTATGTAAATACAAACCTTTATTTTAATTGATCTTTTCAAAAAAAACTTATTCATTTTGGCCAAAAAAGTTTTTTTAAGAATCTTAATATGCTGAAATTAGAGGATTTCAGAAAAGTAATTTTCATTTATTAAAGTTTAATGTAAAATTTTTAGTATCATAATTAATTTTAAGAGTGAATCTAATTTTTTTAGATAAATGAAAATAAAAAAACCTAAATATTTAAACATCTTAATGATATATTGATGAAAATAAAGATACAGTAAGAGTATTAAAGTAAGTTGAGTAAATAAATATGATGAAAAATAAAAAAATGAATAAAAAGAAAGAAGAAGAAATAAAAGAGAAATAGAGGAAAAACCAATAGTAAAAAAAATGAAAAAGAATGAGACTAAAGAATATTAAGCAGTAGAATAAATTTTAAGTAGTGATTTCTACAAGGTGGATGTAGTGGAATTAGCATAGAAATTGATAGGTAAAATAATAATAAGATAATTACCATAAGGAGAAGGGAGAGGAATAATAGTAGAAACAGAAGCATATAAAGGTATATAAAAATATAGGATATAATTAGCTCCTGATGATAAGGCTAGTCATGCTTACAACAATAAAAAAACAGAGAGAACAAAATATTTTTGGTAGGATGGAGGTCATTTATATGTTTATTCAATATATGGAAACAATTATTGCTTAAATATTACAGCAGCAAGTAAGGATGATCCAGAAGCTGTATTAATTAGAGCAATTCAACCTTTAAGTTTCGATATCATTAAGGAAATAAGAAAAACAAAATCATCAAAATTATAAGATATTCAAATGGTCCTGGAAAATGTGGTGGTTGTTTACTTCTTAATAAATCTTATAATGGATTAAATTTATGTGATAATAAAAGTGGAATGTATCTATTAGACAACAATAAATAATATGATATTGGTGTTTCAGCTAGAATCAATATTGATTATGCAGATGAATGGAAAGATAAACCTTGGAGATTTTATATTAAAAACAATAGTTTTGTATCTAAAGGTTGATTATTATTAGTATATTTAATAAAAACATAATACTATAAAGATTTCTATTCTCTTCTTTAATTATATTGGATAATTTGTAATAACATAAGGAGAAGATAATAAATTTGGATGAAATTTTAAATATTTTTTTAGAATTCTTTTTCTTACATTTTGATAAATAAATTTAATAAATGAAACCAAATCATTGTGACACTATTTTTAACGATGACTAGTTCCAGACACCTACAAGATAATAAAAAAGAGTTATAACTGAAACTACAATTAAAAAACCATTTCAATAGAAATAAAGATAATGTACTTGTAAAAAAAGTTAATGTCTCAAAATGTATTGTGATTGTCTTGCATTTGGTGAATATTGTGGAAGTGAATGTTCATGTTAAAATTGTCATAATGATGATAAACACCTTGAATAAAGAAACAAAGTACTTGAATAGATGGTTGAGAAGAATTCTTCTGCTTAGATTAAATGTAATTGTCGTAAAAGTAATTGTTAAAAAAAATATTGTGAATGTTATAATGCAGGTGTGAAATGTTCAGAATTATGCAAATGCGATGATTGCAAAAACAGCGTTAAATTGGGTTACAACTAATTTCAAATTGGAAATCAAAAGTTCATTCTCATTCCAGTTTAAACTTTTGAGTAGTTGAAGTCACAATAAAAATGAAATCAAATTAATTGAGCATCACATTTTTCCACATCAACAAACAAATAACATATAAATAATTCTAAATCATAGGTTTAATCTATTTCTTATTCTATTGTATAAACACTTTCAAATTCAATTTTAATCATCTCATCTTTAGAAGTTATTATTACTAATTTTTAATTAATATCACTGATATTTATAATCTAATTTATCAATTAATATTTTAATCATTTTATTTATAACATTGCTTTTTACACTTGTTTATCATTATTGTATTCCTTGAATAATATTATTCTACTTTTAATTAATCAATATTTATTTCACACTCACTTTCAATTCTTAAATTATTTATTTAGCTTCTATTCAAATAGTTACTATTATATTCAAAATATCGAAGCAAAATATTAAAAATTACTTCACACGACTGATTTTTATAAAATTTCATAAAAATTTATTAAGTTTGATTAATTTAATAGCTTCGATTGAATATAATCAATACACCTTAATTTTTACTTTGATAAAAAAACATCATTGAAGATCTATTAGAACTTTGTTCTATATACTTATATTAAGTGATAATGCATATGGATTCATTTTGGAATTTAAACTTATCCTTTTGAATATATAAAAATGTTACCAAAAAAAATAAAAATAATATCTTTGCTGAATGAATCTGTATTTGTAAATCTAGATGAGCTATTAGATTCAATTAAGTTTTACACTTAATTTTAGACTGCTAGTGATAATGTGTGTATCTTAAAAATAAAGAACTAAATTTATTTATATTGCAATCATGGCTTGAAAATTTATAATTCTGTTTTTAATTTAGTTTTGTATTCTAAAAACCAAAACATAGATTAAGATTCTATTTCTATTTTGAAATGGATTATTTAATTGGTTTTGTTGTATATTTTATAATAAAAAAAGAATAAAATCTACAAAGCCACATTATAAGTTGATTTGATAAAATAAATTATTTATCTTATTTGTCTTCAAAATAAGCAATTTTTTATCATAATCATATTATAAATATGAATTAGGATTATATCAAGTTCAATTGATATAAATTCTGAATTTAAAATAAATTAATAATGAGAAAAAAACCTTTTAAGGATAACGGAATATATTTAGAAAAACACGCAAAAGCATTACTAGATTATTAACAAACATCAGAAGAAGAAGATGTCAATACATAATCTAAATATAGAATCAAAGCGATAAAATATAAAAATAATCTGATTGAATCTTAAGAAGTAATCTAAGCATTAAAAATGGAAAATTAAGAAAGTGTAATTCATTAGAATTAATATTTTAGAAAAAGATTATTAGTGAATTACTGTTAGATATTGAAGAGATGAAGGAAAGAGAAAAACAATTAGAATCTGAATTAAATGAATAAAAATAACTAACATAATCAGCTATTGAATAATTGGAACAAGAACTTTAGGAATCTGTAGAAGATCGTTTATTGTAAGAACAAAAGCAATTCTAAGAAAAGCTCACTATATAGTCGAATGAAGCAATTGAAAAATTGAAGAAGCATTTTGATGAACAATTATAGATAATTGCCTAAACACCAAAAAGTACTCCTTCAAAAAAAAAAAAGAAAAAGCAAACCTCTTCTAGCACATCTAACTTAAGACCATAAAGTTAAACAACAGGAAGATCTCCTGCAGCAGTATCTAAGAAAAAAAAAAAATGATAAATATAAATAAAATTATTTATTATCAATATTATAGTACACAAATTTAATAGGTATAAATGGCCCCTCAAGTAATTAATTTGTATAAAACTTTGTACTTTTTTTGTAAAATTTAATCTTAATCTCTATTATATTTCTTAAAACTTCTATCTTATAAAAACTCTATTTAAAGATGTGCATCTAACAAAATATAGCAATTTTAATTAAATGCTATATTTAAGTAATCAATTTTTTCTTGCACACAAAGGAAGATGAAAGTTCAAAATGTAAACTTCGTGTTAATTTAGAAAATAAAAGAATATGTTAATTAAAAATGAATCCATGGAATAGATATATGAAAAACTAAAAAATATACTTATTATTTGATAGGATAAATGATCAAATAAATTGCTCCTTTAGGGGATGCTAAAATGGGTCAATTTAATAATCTTTAATTTTTATTCTATTGATTTTTTATAGATTAAGGGAAATGCTTCGTTGTTTGTAGATTACATTAATAAAATCCATCAAAAGTAAATGATAATTTTTAAATTTCATCAAGAGATTTCTAATTTTTTAATGATTCTCAAGATGTTTTATTTTTTTTTCAAAATTTTTGATAATAATAAGAAGATTCATTTAATCATAATTTAATTATGAAATCTGATTCATAATACTAATACTCAAAAAAATCAAAAAGTATTTCAATTTATGATATTTTCTTGATAAATTCTAGAAGCTGTCTAAAATATAATATATAACTTCATTTACTTATCATATTGTTAAATTAGCTAATAGGTTACTTAAACATCAATCAAACTTTTTAATTATTGACAGAGAATCTCGATTGGTTATTTTTCAGATTAAGTTTTAATAGAAAATAAGTAATATTCATTTTATTATACAATTTGATCATGATATTATAACATCAAATTGATCTAAATTTATTATAAATTTTTTTTTTGCTGATGAAATTGTAATCTAATTTTATTGTGAAGATTTATAAATTTTTGATCTTATGAGTTCAAATATAACTTCAATAATTCTATAAATTGAGGTAGATCACAATTATTTAAAATTTTAGGTTGAAAATCTGAAATTATTATGTTAATCATTGCAAAAGCAATTTAAATTTCTTAAAAGCCTATTTACAGAATCAAATAGTAAATATTAATTATATTTACATTTCTAAATATCTTAGTATTTTTTAATTCTTCTGCAGTCTTTTAACAGAGCAAGCTTTTTCTGTACAAATTATCTAAAATTTTATGAATTCTAGAGAAAATTGTTTATTTATCTTGAAGATTTTATTGAGATATATTTTTTTATGTTATTGGTTTGAATAGGGGATCATTTAATAAGAATAAATGATATTCAAGTAAATCTTCAAAAGAAATTCGCTTGTTTTAGTCAAATATTAACATTTCCTGAATTAAATTTATTAATAATTTTCCTAATGGATCTTATTAAGGCTAACATTAATATGGCTTTTTCTTAATCTCTTCAAAAAATTTTAAATGATTAAATTATACTGATCTATAACCACCAGGAAATAATTTTTAAAAGACGATTTGATGAAATAAAATTCCATAAGAATAAATATCACACTTAGCAGAAAATAATTCATTATGAAAAATTTCAGGGGCTTAGTATCTTTTGGAACCGATTCTTGTCATATCTTATTCTTGGTATATATCTTACAAAGTTTTTGAAAACCCAAAATCTGCTATCTAAATAATTTATTTATTATTTCACTTTAAAAATTCTTCTTTCATTTTTTTCTCCTAGATTCTATATTTTCACAAGTATATTTTGTGGTTTAATATCCCTATGAACAATTTTATTCTCCTTAAGTACTTGAGCTCCTTTAAGGATTTATCTAATTATATTAACTTATTCTTCTCTTGAAAACCACTATTTTTCCTATCTATAGTTTTAAAATAACTATTGTAAATCTAAATCACAAAGCTCCATAACCAAACAAAACTCCTCTTTTGTTTAAAAAAAAGTAATCATTTTAACTAAATTTTCACATTCTATATTTCTTAATTTATAGAAAATCTATTTTTCTGCTTCCATTGTTTTTTAGCAAAATAATGGTTTTGATTTATCTTGGATCTTTATAATCTTCATACAAAATAATTCATCCTAATTATCTTTCTTATAGCATTTGTATGTATTTCCATATTTTCCTTGTCCTAAAATATTATTAGTTATTATTTAATAATCCCCTTTCATTTCGAATTGATAATTCTTTTTATTTATATATATTATTATTTTTAATGTATTACATTATAAACAAATTTAAAAGTTTAATATTTATCATACAATATTGTATTTGAACAAGATCAAAAATTACCTATTATTCAAATTATATATCTAAAACTTTGAATATTAATAGACAATATGAATTGTATGATTATAGAAAGAATTTGAGAAGCCAATTAGAAATATTTTAAATGTTTAGATATTAATTATAGCTAATAATCTTAAAAATATTCTATCATTTATTTTAGATCTCAAAAATCTCTTCAGGATTTAAAAAATAATACTTTTCAATTTCAAATTTGGTCTCAATTTTCATAATATTTTGAATACTCTATTGAATTTTTCTAAATTAATATAAATAAGTTTATTACTAATCGAATTTTTAAATTTGAAGGTTGATTTTTTAATTATTAAGATATTCTTCCAAAGTATGGCAGTATCTTTGAATTTCAATTTTTTATTATAGTGCTTCTTCAAAAAAATTGATTTATTCTTTAAATTTATTTATGCTTCCTTCTTTTTTTAGATTAAGAGTCAGAGAATTATAACTCTCTTACATTTCTTTTGAATGTTTGTAAAAGCATTTTAAAATCTTTTGATGAAGGTTTTTATCTTTTTAGCTTTATTTAGAATATTCAAGGTAATTTTTCAGAATTTCAATAAGATGAGGAATATCATGTTTATCTTTAATAAAAGACTAAAAGTCAGATACTATAATAAAAAGCATAGCAAAGGCAAACTTAATTTCTTCTAAACCTATCATGCCAATTAATTATTTAATCATTGAAAATTCTGGGTTGAAAATAAAAATTTCTTAATTAATATAATTTATAACTGACTAACAAAGTAGATATTTTCTATAAAAGATATCAATCATAGTATATATCTTATCATATTTACTTTATTAATTTTCACTCTATAATTTTTGTAGATCCTCTTTTTCAAATTTTCTGTCTATCTCTAAGAAAAGAGAATCTGCCAAAATTGGAGATGGCATTGTTACTATTTCATGAGATAATAAATTTTCAAAGGTAATTCTATGATCTTAATTAAAAAGTAACATTTTCTCAATTAAATTTGTAAGGATATCTCCATATTTACCTTATAATTTTTAGCACTAATAAGGATTATTTTCTATTTTTCTTATAAATTCATTCATTTGAATTTAGTTTTTATAATCATCAGGAAAACTCCCATTAAAAACAAGTTAATGAAATACAACTCCGTAAGAGAAAATATCACACTTAGCTGAAAATTTAAAATTTTTAATAATTTCTGGAGCACAATAGACATAAGTACCAACTCTAGTCAATTCACTTTTTTTGTAAATATCGTCTAATGGTCTTGTAAAACCAAAATCAGCTAACTAATAAGTATGAGTAAATAAAAACTTTATAAATTTTTCTTTGATTGGGTAATCCTTTATTAGCTATTTTCACAAGTATATTTTAGGGTTTAATATCTCTGTGAACAAATTTATTTTGAATCAATACTTTGGCTCCTTTCAGAATTTATTTAATTATTTCAATCTATTCAGATCTTGAAAACCATTATTATTTTTTTTTTAATTCTTTATACTCTTAAGATAAATCATAATCACACAATTCCATTATTATACATAATTCTTATTCTAAATCCAAAAAATCAATCAATTTAACCAAATTTTCGCTATCAGTATGTTTTAAATCTTAAACAACATTAATTTCAGCCTATAATTACTTCTTTTTATTCTCTTCTCCTTATGGATCATTTAATTCTGATTTTTTAATTATTTTCATGCAAAATTCTTCTTGAGGATTATTCTTTTTATAACAGATATATGCCTTTCCAAACGATCCACTTCCTAGCAATTTATCATATTTAACTATGTATGCTCCCTTTTCTTCCGTCATTAACATACTAATATGATTATATTAATAGAAATAAGAAAATAAATTTAGAGTTTATATATAAACGATATATATTAAAACTGAATTCTAAAATGATTGTCCTTTATTCAAGCAATGAGTATAAAAAATTCATCTTTATTATAATCTCAAATTTTAAGGTAAAAGTATTATATATTCTTCTTCTTTTTTGTCACTTCTAATTTAATAACAGATTTTATTTTCTCACCATTTGCATTAATAATAATTTTTTAGATTTATGAGAAAAGAATATCTATTATTAGATGCTACCACAGGTGCCTCAAAAGTGCTTCATCTTCTTTTCCATAATGTCTTGCATTTTAAGTAACAGTTATATGAGCTAATGGTTAAAAATCAGCTTCAATTACTGGAAACCAAAGTCTATCATCAATTTCAGGTTTTACAGGAATGATTCATTTTTTTATATATCCTTTTCTCCTTGCAAGAAATAAAAAAAATTGCTGTATCTAAATCAACTCTAGCTATTCGAATATCTACTAAGGAAACTTAATGAACATCTTTTGATCTGTTAACCAATTATTTCCAGATTAAATATAAATATTAACTATTTAATGTTGTCACAAGTTTGAATAATCTTTTGCCACTATTAATTGGCCTTCTACTAAGTCAAATATTATATCTATATCTTTTCTACCTAAACTTGATAAATAGTAAAAGATCTATATTATTTTAAATCCACTCTATTATTCTTTTTTTTACCTTTCTTTAAATCTTTAGAATTAGAATCCTTTTAGAAAATAATTAGGGTCTAATTGCTCATCTGAATCTATTTTTACTGTAATATCATTATTAGAATCTATTCTAACCTTCACACGAATAAATTTGTTGAAGTACTATTCAATTGATCATTCCAATTAGGATCTAAACTTAGATTATAATTGAAAAGCGTTTCTGACAATATAGAATTACAATCTTTTGTATTTACAATAAAATAAACAGTTAACCCGGTTATACCAGTTAAGGTAATTACTAATAGCATTAAAGAATATATTATTGTTAATTTGACTTACACCATCAGAAGATGGCTTTCTTATTTCATCAATCAGAAAATCATCATCAAAACTTGATATATAATTAATAAATTAATATCTAAACATAGAGTCAATATCAATGATATTTATAATCCTCCTTTCCTTCATCTTAAAGTTTCTCTTAAGACATTTAAATTGAATTTTATCCATCACCATATAATAAACTCTATTCATCTCCTTCAGAACCAAACTCTTAATGTATCTAGTTTATTTTGTTGTTATATTCACTCTTTGTACGTTCAACACTAAAATTTATATTAATAAAATTACTATCTAAAGAATTATAATGGCTTTGTTTTATCTAATCTCCATTATTAGATTCCAAAATTAACAATTTTACTCAAGACAGTCCATTCAAATCTGGCTTTTTGATTAAGTTTAGTTTAATTTACTAAATATGGTCTAAGACGAGGATTATTTTCAAGATGTGGTTATTTTTCTTTAATTTTTTCTCTAAGTTCATCAAGTTTTGGTCCAAATTCTTAAAGTTTTCCTTTAAAAAGATTATAAAAAAATAGAAGTAGGAAAACAGCATTTAAAAGTGCAATAATAACATATCCTGCATAAGTAAGACCATAAAAGTTGATTTCAATAGTTCTATAAAGAAATACTCCGATAACTAGGGATAAAGATAATACAACAGTCGATAATTAATCTAGATCATTGATTACTCTTAAATTGTATGGATTAAAATGAGTAGCAAGTCCATAATAAGCATAGACAACAAGAAATGATAGAATACCCTATATATATGAATAAAATATACTTTAACAGTGATTTCTTCTTAAAAGTAGCAAATAAGAACGCTAATTAAAGATCTATAAAATATTTTAAGGAATTCCCAATAATATCTATTTCTTCTGTATTCATGATAAAAGAAACCCCATGATTGACTGAACCTAAAAGAATTCAATTTCATTTATTAAGCTCCTTAATAACAAACATACCAAAAGATGAGAGGTATTATAAGAACCCATAAGAGTAATCCAGGAACTCCAAATCCTGCAATCCATTAATCATGTTTAAATGTGTCATATCTATATGATACATTAGCCATAATATATTAATTGCCTGAAATTACTCTACTTGAAATCAACGTCNAGTTAAGGTAATTACTAATAGCATTAAAGAATATATTATTGTTAATTTGACTTACACCATCAGAAGATGGCTTTCTTATTTCATCAATCAGAAAATCATCATCAAAACTTGATATATAATTAATAAATTAATATCTAAACATAGAGTCAATATCAATGATATTTATAATCCTCCTTTCCTTCATCTTAAAGTTTCTCTTAAGACATTTAAATTGAATTTTATCCATCACCATATAATAAACTCTATTCATCTCCTTCAGAACCAAACTCTTAATGTATCTAGTTTATTTTGTTGTTATATTCACTCTTTGTACGTTCAACACTAAAATTTATATTAATAAAATTACTATCTAAAGAATTATAATGGCTTTGTTTTATCTAATCTCCATTATTAGATTCCAAAATTAACAATTTTACTCAAGACAGTCCATTCAAATCTGGCTTTTTGATTAAGTTTAGTTTAATTTACTAAATATGGTCTAAGACGAGGATTATTTTCAAGATGTGGTTATTTTTCTTTAATTTTTTCTCTAAGTTCATCAAGTTTTGGTCCAAATTCTTAAAGTTTTCCTTTAAAAAGATTATAAAAAAATAGAAGTAGGAAAACAGCATTTAAAAGTGCAATAATAACATATCCTGCATAAGTAAGACCATAAAAGTTGATTTCAATAGTTCTATAAAGAAATACTCCGATAACTAGGGATAAAGATAATACAACAGTCGATAATTAATCTAGATCATTGATTACTCTTAAATTGTATGGATTAAAATGAGTAGCAAGTCCATAATAAGCATAGACAACAAGAAATGATAGAATACCCTATATATATGAATAAAATATACTTTAACAGTGATTTCTTCTTAAAAGTAGCAAATAAGAACGCTAATTAAAGATCTATAAAATATTTTAAGGAATTCCCAATAATATCTATTTCTTCTGTATTCATGATAAAAGAAACCCCATGATTGACTGAACCTAAAAGAATTCAATTTCATTTATTAAGCTCCTTAATAACAAACATACCAAAAGATGAGAGGTATTATAAGAACCCATAAGAGTAATCCAGGAACTCCAAATCCTGCAATCCATTAATCATGTTTAAATGTGTCATATCTATATGATACATTAGCCATAATATATTAATTGCCTGAAATTACTCTACTTGAAATCAACGTCATGAATTCCATGACATAATTAGGTTATAGAAAAACAAATAGATAAATGGCCATTGTATATATGTATTAGATTTTGAATTACATTTTACCAGCTGCTACACTTGCAAAAATTATGATAAGCATCATAATAATGTAAATGGCTTACATAATTAAGGACCAAATAATACGGAAGTATATAAGATCAATTCCCCAAGTATCTTCAACCAAAAAGCAATCGAGTGAATTACCAATTGTTTTAGCAGGCATACTTACAGTATCAACTGAATCTACAGCTTCATTTGGTATTGCTATTTAAAATCCACTCAATATAGATAAAATTTAATTATGATTATTAAATATTTTCATCAAAACAGCTACATTTCCACTAGCTTTTTAAGATGAAGCCCAACCAAGGAGAGCAAAAATATCATAAAGAATACAGTTTTCCATTCTTTCTTAATTTGCCTTAACAGCAGAGATGGTTGAATGTAAAGTAACAATACTTAAAATTACAATCATAATAATATTTCTAGTTCTATCCTAACATGTACCACATTAATATTTAGCTGAATTACTATATTTAGTTTCCCAAAAAGTACCATAAATATCACATTCTTCACATAATGCTCCTATCATACCTTCATAACACAAATCATTTCCAACATTAAATCCACCAAAACAATTGACAGGTTTATTTTTGCACTTTTCAGGTAAATCATTTAAATGATCTGGCCTCCAAAATTAATTTTTGATACTTATAAGATTCATTCTGGTATAATTCATAGCAGTATCATCAATTTATTTACAAATACCTTTATAAACAAGTACATATTATCCTGTAGGACATGGAGTACATGACCCTAATTATGGATTATATGCTTCACCACGATCACATTCAACTGATCTAATTCTAGCTTATAAAATATAATCTGTATCAAATCCTAAGAGTTAAAAAGGATATTGATGATAATATCGAGGTATATTAACTAGTGAACTATTAAGTTGAATATCTAATGTAACATTTTAATATGGATCAAATAATATCTGTAAATTAGAATAAGAGAAGCCTTGTTAATCTAAATTAAAGATTCTCAGTGATTCTCCTTAAATAGTATTTGTAAGATTAGTAGTCATGTTTGATTAGGATTCAAATTAATATTTCATAACTTCATTATTCTGATTAAGAAATACTAATAAAACAGATTGATTTTCAAATGCTGACATTTCTTAACCACTCTTAATAACCAATGGATAATGAAGCCATTCTATCTTATCATTAATATAACTAGAATGCTATAATTTTCCATTAATTAATATACCTAAATGACTAGGATATTCTGCTACATCATCACCAAATAAAGTTGCATAATTTTAAAGCATAGTATTAGATGTTTTACTATAATCATTAATTCCACTTTATTTAACTCTAATGGCTCCACCCATACTAGCATTATTTCTAAAAAAAACACTAGTTGCAATATTCAATCTTTAATAAACAATTTTGCCACTTTTTTGTTAAGCTTCATAATGAATACAACCACCTTAACCAATTACTACAGATTAAGTACAATAACCATTAGTTATATTTGCAGTTAGACCATATATTGATATGGCACCACCATGAATAGCTCTAATGTCTTAAACATTCAATGAATCTACAATCAAATGAGCCATATGACTTGGTGAAGGAACAGCGTAATTGTAATCACCAGGTGAATATTATTTTGCTTAAAGAAGACGTCTTCTACTTTTCAATCCTGTCTTTTTCAATATTGATTCCAGACTCAAAGAAGAACTAAATTATATACCAATTTAAGAATCTTCCTTTGCTAATATATCTGAATATTAATTTGATGAAACCATATAACAACCGTAGTAAGCTGCTTCAGAATTCGAACATCTACAAACACTTAATTGAACAAGTTCTCTTTGTTCACTATTTGAAACTCTCATTACTTGTACCAATCCTCCATAGCATTCCTTACATTTTACTCTATTAATAAAGATATTTTTCATTAGTAATGGAGTATTTTTGGTTATTTAATCAACTAGCATCAAAGCTGGATTTATGATATATTCAGGAAAATCAACACGAGATTGTAATATTCTACAAATAGCATTTTACTCATTAGTTAATTATTAATCATTGCAACTAACAGTGACATTCATAGATGATATATTCCTAAATTAAACAGAATCAATAAAAACTGGATTTACTAATGGCTCTATAACTTCGATGTATGGTCTATATGATAAAACACCATGTTATGATTCTAAGGTGTTGAACTTTACAAGATTTGGATTACGAAGTGATATGAATCCATAGTAATAGAGTCCTTCACTATAACAATTCTGGATTTCTACTTATCCGTTATCTTATTCAAATGCAGCTAATCTCTTTATTAACATGAACTCCTCAATTATTTAAAAATTAGTTAGGTTACTGAAATAATCTAAAGCATTACTGTAATTCCCTGAAATTTTTAATCCAATTAATGTAGTCTTTTAAATTTATAAAGTTCTCTCATCATATTTCACTTTTATTGATGTACCACTTAAACCATAACAATTTGAGATAATACTGTTTCTTATAGTAAATTATTATTGCCTATCTGATGCAGTTACATAAATTCCACCACCATCAGCTCTTGCAATACAACCTTTTAAATCCATATTCTCTAAGAGCATGTTCAATTAAGAATAGGTTGAATCTACATAAATGCAACCTCCTCTTGAAACGACTGCACCATTCATTGGAGTAAATGCATTAACTATTGAACAACTATTGAAATATACTTCTCCTTCCTTCAAAGCTTTTACAAAGATTCCACCTCCAACTTTACCTGTAGAATTAGTAAATTATGAATTGAGCAAACGAATATTAAAACCTGCTAAAAACATATGTCCTCCTTCTGCTAAATCATTCATTTATTAAGAGAGTGGATTTTAATTAATAAATTTGCTTGAATCGAAATTACTATTAATCATTGTAATATTTCTAGTAGTCTATCTACCACATTCTAAATACAATACAGCCCCAAAACCACTTACTTAGTTATTTTTCCAATAAGAATTCTATAGATTTAAAGTTCCTACCACACTTCTAATTAATAAGGTTGGATTACTTGGTCTTAGTGTTCCTTTTAGAAATGAAGCAGAATAATGTTTATTGTTATTGAAATTAAAGTTTTAGAGAGTGACTATTTATTCTTAAGTTGAATCAATTAATATGGCACTAGATGGAACTGCCAATACAGTAGTTGTAATAGTACAATATTGAACTCTTACATTTTCAATAATAATTTATTCATTAAAGTATTCACTACTAGTATTGTATACTAAATTATTCCAAGAGGATATTCCAATAAATGAATTATCTATTCCATTTAAATTTGTTAATTCTAAATCTGTTATTTTAATCTTTCTATAAAAGTTATTCAAAAAAACACAATAATTGTTTCTAATACTTAATTAACTGTTTTACTTACATTTCAAATTTATAAATGTAATCTCTTAAACTTAATCTGTATAAAATATTGTTAGATCTGGATTTTAAATGCTCTAAAAATTCTAAATTTGTAAAGTATAGGATTTATAAATTTGTATTGCTGCACTAGTGGCTGCTTCCCAAATTGTTTCATTAAAACCTTCTGATTTTATCTCTTAAATTACAATATTACTCATAGATATATTGATTGGTAACTCATAATCATTTTTAATCGTATTTAATAACATAATACATGCAGGATATAAACAAGTAATTTAATTAAATTCTAAATCTTGAAAATTCAAAACCAAACCAGAATATTCAATATCATTTGGCTTTATTGTAAAAATATCAAATTAAGTTTCTACTATCTTACCAAAATAAGTAAATGTTGTATTATATACATAAACTCTACTCATCTCTATTGTTGTTATATGAAACAAACTTGTGTAATTAACTCTACTATTAATCATTGTAAATCCATTTATTTTTACTTTCTACATTGTTTAAAAACTCACTATTCCCCTTGAATTATTGTATTCAGCATTATCCATTTATAAATTATCTATAATTATCATGCCTGTAGGCTTTTCTGTTAATTTAGTACTTAGAAATGCTCCATCATTAATAAAATAACAATCTTTGAATTATACATTATTTATATATATCTTACTATTCCATTCAGGTGCTGTAACTAAATTCATATCTAATAATTCAAATATTGCTTAATCTTCTACTGCAAAATCTTGAAATTTTACATCTTACAATTTTATATTCAAATATTTGAAACTTAAATTATCCTCATAAACTAATCCAAAAGGCTTTGCTTAATATGACAAATCTGGACCCATTAAATAATTCTATGATTGAAATATTACATTTTTCATCGTTATACTATAAGTATTCAATAGTACCGTAAAAAATGGTTTATATTTCTTTAGCATTTAGGCTGTATCACTATATGGTGTTGTATATTCATTAGAATTATAATGTGATTCTGCTAATCCATTATTTATTTTCACATTTTCTAATTCAAATTTAGATCCTTCATTTTTCAAAAACTCAAAACCAAAAGGTTTGTCATACCTTTCAATATTGTTGTAAAGATTCAATATATCTAAATCTTTTGCAGGCAATATTTCAATATCTTTGATACTCACTGAAGTAAAGTATTCAAAATATACAGTATTCATTATATACCACTATATTCTTTGATCTTTTGGAATATTTTCAACACTTATTTTAAGTTCTAGATCTTTCAAGGCAAAAATATTTTTTTTTAAATTTGTTGAAATATAAGTGTCTTTTTAAAAGTAACATCGATTATTGTTTTAGTCAGCATTATATTTAAATATTAATTAAATTGTGAGTTTACTTAAAGATTTAGTATTGTATTCTTTTAATCTCGCAGTATCAATAAGAGGCAAAGGATTTTTAATATTCTCTAGAATCAGTGTAGTAGTTTTTTCTGTAATACTAGAATACTAAGAATTTATTCTCCATACCGACTCATCATGAGGTAAGTTTTATATACAATCAGCATGAATAGTAATAGTGTCTTCATTTAAAACTGCTACATCTTTTGGAGTTGTACATCTTCCAATATTAGTATCAAGTTCAGATTCATCATCACATTTGAATGCTAAATAAGAAAATCTAGTAAGGCTTGCATCAGATGGATCGAAATATTTATTTGAAGCTATCAGTTCGCTTGAATCTCTTTCTCGACAACCAATTGTGTTTGTTGGACAAGGTATGCAATCAGCTCCATCAAGAGAAGCAGATCTTGAGAATTCAAATAGTTTTGGTTCTGCTAAAGTTCCTTCAACACATAAATCACAATAACCTTTGGTTCCTTTTGCTTCAAACTTAGCACAATTACTTTTTCCTTTTTCACATATTCTTAAATCTAAATTAAGGAAAGGTCCTATACTATTATCTCCAGGATTACAAGCATAACAAAATGGTCCATATGTTTTAGGATCTTCATCATATTCATAAGCATAATAATCAGTTCTATGTATGGTTTTAAGTGATAATTTATAACAATTTTAGCAATTTTTATTATCTGAACATGATTAACATGTACCATCTTTAGCATCAACATAATATCCATCTAAACATTTCAAGCATCTTACTTTAGCTCCATTTTTGACACAAGATTAACATAAGAAATCTTAAATTTATTACTAACAATCAAAAGTGCATTTCCATACTCCATCAGCTTCATCTTTAATAAGAGTGTATCCTGTATTACATGTTCTACAATGATAAAGATTAATTTAATCTTTATCAATTTCAAAAGTTAAACATCCGGTTGGAGGAACAGTTAAAATTGTTTAAACATCACAAGTTTTATCTTATTTTAAATAATATCCATTTTAACAGACAACACATTTTTGTAAAGATTATTCTTCTTTATCAAGTGGTTTAAAATCTGGATTTAAAGTAGAGAATGTAGAATCTCCACCATAATCTGGGTTTCCTTCTTTATGACATAATTTGCAATTTAATAAATTAGAACAATCCAGACAACCTGTTCCAACAGCCAAAAATGTTTATGTATAATCATCACATTCTCTACAACGAAATAGATAAGGAGCTTCTGCAGCTTCAATTTTAGAAATCATGTCTTATACATTTTCAACATAAACATCCGGTGGTTCTATAACTAAATTTTGAATACGAGTGGGACTATAAATTAATTATTAGATTTACTATTAATTTTCACTTAGTGTATATGATACATATTCACATCTTCTACAATTAGTTCCACATCTTTTACATGATTTTCGATTAAGTGATGGAATGAAAGTACTCTATGATGTACTTAGACAAACTGAACATCTTTAATCTATTCCATATGTTTTCCATAGAATTTCATAAAACTTTTAAGTTGGAGGATTATTGTCTATATCATCTATATATAGTTCATCTTATAGTTAATTCAAAAGTTCTTAATTTGTTATGTCAAAATCAAAATTATTATATTTATCCCAAGGATCTTGATTTAAATTAACTAGATTCTTTCCATAATAACATTCACTACATCCAGAAAAACAAGCTATACAAAGGGTTTGCATTATATTTTTATTACTTTTAGTTCTGATACTTAATAAACTAAAACCTGCATTGCATATTAAGCATTTCTTTTTTGTTGTTACTATTACTTTACCTGCACTATCAATCTATCTAACTATGTTTATTTAACATGATTAACAATTTTCTGGGCAAGAATCACATCCTTCTATTGCATCATTAAATGCATACCCTAAAAAATTATATATTTATTACCCTAAGTACAAGATATATAAGGATTATTCAAATCATATTAAAATTATTAAGAAACTGCAAAACAAGTTTAACTCTTTGATTTACAAAAATTAGAACATCCATCACACATTATTGAATTAAACTAAATAAATTTATATAATACATCATCTTCTCCAGATTAAACTATATAAAATAATTATTTTGCTGGCCTATCTACTTTGTGAAATATTGACTTCATCTCAGAAGATTTCTTTTTGTAATCATAAGTGCATAATCTATTTTAATCCCACGTTTGACTATTATCTATGCAATCACCACAATACAAATTATTCTCATCTTTATACCCTATGTAAGGACTAAATTACATTTAATTAATTTACCATTTTACACATATACGAGTACCCGCCTTTAATTCTAATTTTTCATTATCACGAGGTAATGTAAATAAAAAATGTAAAGTTTCACATTATTAACAATTCCCCTTTTCAATATGCAAGCAATATTTAAACCTAGGTTTAAGTGGATCTGGATTTCCTGTTAGTGGATTTGAGGTTATTCCGAACACTAAATTCACGAACCCTAAAATAAGACTGACGCGGATAAAATTCATTTTATTTAATTAATTATTCTTTAGATCATCAATATTAAAGGTCATATTCATATAATCTCATTAAATTATTAAGTCAATGCATAATTTTACAATCCCAGTAGGTTACTTTTATATTTGAATCGCTAAATACATTTTTAAGTCCTAATATTCTAATTCTTTCTTAATGTCGTTTTTCACTTTTATTAGATTTCATTAATATCATCATCAATTTCACATATTTTTTAATCACTTCAATGGAACCAATCAATTTTAACTATCTTTATTCATGATAATTCTAATCCCTATCCACTAAATAAACACTTTATACACTTTAACAATTTTTAATTATAATCAAATTTTTATTATATCAAATTTTCTAAAAAAAATAATTAATTAATAAAATTATATTTCAACTCTTATCATCAATCAAATCAGATTATCAATAATCAAACCTTTTTTATCAACTTCAATTCTCCTAATAACAATTAAATTTATTTAAATTCTTATTTTGCAAACAAGAATTTCTAATTTCTATTTATATCTAAATTAAACTTAAATCTAAATAAACAAAATCATCATTCACATTTTTAATTTCTATTATGTTTATTAAGAATTATTCTCATTCAAAATTTATATTATTAAATAATAATACTATTCTGACATAATTTTCACTCCATTCTCTTCCTTCACAATTATTATGGAAAGACTTATTTAAATATTATTTAAATCAATTTTTATTAGGCCGTTACTATTATTTACTTATTTTGATTTTTCTTAATAATCTTAAAGTTTCTATATTATTTTGGATAAATTTAATATAAACTTACATTCTTTAAGATTTCTGAATAAAAATTCGTATCAAAATTACACAAAGAATACTAATAAGAAATAACAATTATATTTATATTATTTAACATAATTTTACAAGTTATTTATAGAAATTCGATATAATTAAATTAATCTGCTAAAAGCACGATTATATTTTAATAGGATATCTAAGATCTAACATTAATATATAAATTTTTTGTGTATTTGATGCATTAATATTAATTAATATAATCATGGATGCTGAAATGTATTAACATGAACCACTAAATTAGAGTACTATAGTTATAGTTACTCTTCAGCAATCTAATCCAAATTATCGAATTCTCGAAATTACATACATTGAATTTGTTTTTTTTACATTGAAACACTTCTTAGTTTAATTCGATTTTTATGATTAATAAGTTTGCTTGCTTCTGATGTTCCTATTTATAGAAAACCTTCTTTCGTTGATTTAATATCCTCCTCATCAGTTTCATCTGATTTATCATTCTTTTATATTTAAACATTTATTTATTATGGTCTTGGTTAGGTTTAATAAATATGAGGGTAATTACAAGGAGATAAATTTTCAGATCGCGTTTGTTGTTGAGGTAGCCTTTTACGATCTAATCGGTTTTTACTTGAATAAAAAAAAGAAAATATCATATAATAATATTAATCAATATTGTTGACCAAGATGTTATGAAATGACCTGATACCTATAAATTATAAAATCTTCATTTATTATTACTCTATTCATTTCTGGATTACTGTGTCAATTTAACGTTTTTTCCACTTCTCATCATTGAGATTTTAAGTTAATTGAGTTGAGCTAAAATTATAGAATGAATAATTGCTTTTTTAATAATAAACTTAACTAAAAGTAATAATAAAATAAAGGTTGATAATGGATTTCAAATTTTTAATAACTCATTTCTTAATCAAGGAATAAATGATGAACTTTAATGATATTTTTAATATAAAAAAATAGTATGAAAATGTTATTCTTTTTATTCGTTATAACATATTTCTTAATAATTATTTGTGAATCTCATCAATTTTAGTTAATTGATATCTAATAATTATTGATATCTAATAATATAAGTATACATAAAAATATTATAAATACATAATGTAATTAATTCTCATAAAATTTTATTTTGTTTTATATATCTTTATTTTTATTAGTAGGTTGAAACATAAATAAAATGTAAGAATAATTATAATAAGCATTACTAAATTTATTAGTTTTTCGCGTTTCTGTTAATTTTCAATTGATTCATAATGACTATAAAATAGAGAATTTATAACTATAAAATATTTTCATTTAAACCAACCTTTGCATTCAGTATTTTTTATATTTTACCTAAGTAGTTGAAAGTATTGACAATTTTTCTTTTTGTTTTTTTAAAAAGTTTCAATCTTATCCTTTGAATTCTAAATTTGTATGTAATACTTTAACATCTTATCATAATGTTTTGTTCATACTTTCTTTTGAGTATAATAACAAGAAGATTTTTGCTTTTCAATTTAAAGTATTTAATTCAAATCTATTAATATAAATAATCATTTTTTATATAATTTTTCTAGTTTCGTCTAAACATAGCCTATGAGTATGAATGCATTTATTATGATTATATTTTTAATATTAAAAATTAGTAAAAAATATGATTCTTTATGTTAATCATTAACAATACAAAATACTCCAGTTTATAAAAGATGAAAGCAACCAAAAAAACCAGTAAATATATCCTACCTAAAAAGTAAACATTAAAACTCTGTTAGAAATTAAGTATAAAGAAAGGAATTCCTTAATGAATATTATAATTTATATAAAGTTGATAAAGTCTGATTTGAAAATAAAACTATCACAAAAATCGTTAATTTTCTTACAATTAAAAATAGATCTTCTGAAAATATTTTTGTTAGATTAAAATTTATTTAACCAAATAAATTAAAATTAGTAAATAATATTTACACTCTTTATTTTGACTATTATTTTCTAATTATAATAAAGTATGTAAAATAATAGAATTATTATAAATATTTTAATAGATTGCTATAAAAATAATTATGTTTCAATCTGCTACATATGCTAATCTTGTATAATAATCTTATCCCCTATTTGAATTTTTAGGGTGGCAACAAAGACAACAAGTAAATACAATCATAACCAAAAAAATAGATGCTAATGAAATTAAGGTAGTGCCCATAGTATTAAACATACCTTATAAATAACTAAGCATAGCATCATAACATGGATTACTAATAAATAGTAAATGAATATACTTATAATTTTTAACTTAAGAATTCACATTATTAAATAATTGAATAGGATATCCAGTACACCAACCAGAACATTCCAACTTTTCTTCCATCCATGATAAAGCAGATGCTTATATATCATAATTTTTATCAAATACTTGGCATGATTAAAAATTTTTTGGCTAAACTTAAAATATATAAATACCTTTGATGAATCATTTGATGAATATTTTTTTACAGCAGGTGCAACATTAGAATTAACTTCTTATGAATAATAGCATTCACAAGCATCCTAACAAAGAGTTTTTTCAGCCATACTATATAAATTTTCAATAGTTTTATAATTTTCATTTGATTAATTACATTTTTAATCATTAAAGACTGATCCAAAAACATAAGCTGCAATAGCAAGTGATGCAAAAGCTAAGAATAAACAAATATTTCCAATATTAAATATGGCTAATAAACACTTACTCTTATGTTTAGTTCCACATAAGCCACATATTGCTAAGAACAATACTATGGATGCAAATATCCAAAAAAACACAGTTACTGCACTTGTATCTACATCACCCTAAATTAATTATAAATTATTAATACTATTCCAAGATCTTTGAGAGCACTATCAAAACTTCGTTATATCACTGTGATGATTATTGCAGCTATTACTGCTAATATACCCAATACTAATGTTAACCATCCTTCAAGTAAAACAAAACACTTTAAGCATCCATAAGGAAGACACATTCTAAAATTATTTAATTAATGAATTCATTCAAGAGTTAATATTTAAAATTACTCTATAAGTATTCTATAAATAATATATATTGATTCATAATATATATAATTCTCATTTCATATTCATTCTCTTTAAATATTCTATATATTTTATTCAATTTCTAATTAAATCAAAATCTATATTCTAGACATTTCATTATTTTCAATTTATATGGAATTCATAATTAAATCATATATAATTCTTTTGACTAAAATATCAAAACCATAATTAGAATCAATATCTCTAAAACTTACAAATTATAATCTATATAGTATTAATATTTTAATATTATGCTATCTTTTGGATTTTTGTGTAATTATTTGCATATTTTACACTTAATATATTTTGTTAAAGGATTCTCATTTTAAAATTAATCCAAAATAAATTAATATACAAAGCTAAATCAAGTATTTAATAAAACAAAATAAAAATAATTAAGCTTTAAATAAATTAAAATTAAGACATTATTATAGATATAAAAATTAGTAGTTGAACTATTCTTGAAAGATATATTATTATTTTTGAAAGCAATTAATTTAACTTCCCTCTAAGACTCCTTTATTATTTTTTTGCATAAATTTTTAGATTAATTAAATTAATATAAAAGATGGCCTCTTAAGCTATTCCAAAAGATTTGTATACTTACACAAATGATGAAAGGTTGAATATAGATTTCTATCAACAATTAGCTTATAGCTGATGATATATTCAATAAAAGGAAATCATGTTTGCAAGGATTAGAGAAAGAGTTTCAATTTATGTAGATCTACTCCACTTGGAAAGTATGTAGAACCTGAATTTTGTAAAGACAATGCATTGTCATTAATTGATTGCTTTTTGAAAGTGTAAGAAAATATTTAGATCTATTTATTTAGACAAAGAAATACTAAATGTAACTAATCTTTTTAGAAGGTGTTTGACATTGCTAAATCAGGTTAGTATGCTTAGGAAAGTTTAGAGGATTATTTGAAATGTTGATAAATTTCATAAAATAGTATCCAAAATAATACCTTTAAGAAAATTCATTTAAAACTTATTTAACTCATCATTTCCATCTTTTTTAATATTAAGTATCAAGACTTAAGGAATTTTATTTCATACATATTTTTTTTATCTTATAGATGATTCTTAATTCATAATATGCATATATATTTTAAATAAAATAGCCAAACATCCAATTTCTTTATATTTTTCATCATTTTCATTGATTTTGAAGTTAAATAACTCAAATTCTAATATATAGATTTATTTAATTTTTTTTAAATGTCAACTTAAAGAGTGATATAAATAATTTCTAATATATTTTTGATTTAACTTATTTGTGTTTCAAAATATATACCAAAAAATTTGGGATTCATAAGAAAAATAGATATTTGATAATAAATTTATCCATTCAAACAAATTTTTATATTATATAAATAGCATTATGTTAATTTAAAGAAGCATTAAATATATACAAAATAATAAATCATTCTTTTTAAATTGTAGAAAAGTTCAATATTTCTTAATATTCATTAAATAATTGATCTTCTTCTTCAGTATCAACAAACAAAAACTAATATGTGCTAAATTCATTTATTAGTTTTCTAATTATAAATAATTTAAATCCTTCTATTTCAATGTTCGGTTCTGATATACTTGTATCTTCAGGTGAATTTTTAAATTCTCCTTCATTCATAATGGTTTGTGAAATTTAAGAACTTCTATCATTATATTTTAATTATCCTTCTATTCCTTAACCAGTTATTCTCAATATAAATTGATATAACAGATTTAATAATCCTTTCGAAAAATGACGCAAAGAATTTATTGATATTCTAAATATTTTAGTATATTCTCCAGGCAATATATATATTTATTAAACTTGAAATGCAAAGTAACCCAAATTTATCACCAATCTGCTAGGTCGCTTGCTTACACAAAATTATTTCACTTGTTGTAAAGAAAATATCCTAATCATAAATAATTTGTTTGTCTCAAGAATTTCTTCTATCAACTGTGTGTATGTTTATTTTGGTTTCTTCAATTTTAACAATAATGGTTGTCCTTATCCAAATAAGTACTTTCTCACTTTCTCTTAATAGTATTAAATCTGCTATAATAACTTATTCATATCTCTTTAACCATCATCTTTTATTATTCTTAAATATTTCAATAATTTTCTTGATTTAACATTAAACATATTCTAAAATAATATTAAACAAGAATCTTACTAGTAATTGCTATATGCATTCAGTCTCATTTATTCCACTAGTATTTTTTATTAAAATGTAGGATAATGCAGTAATAATATATTTAGTTTTTACATTCTAATCTAATTATTTTATCTAATGGAGTATTTAAGATCTTAACTCTTATAAATGATCCTAAAATTATTAATTTATAAGGTCTTACATTTGTAATCCAATCAAAAATATAGCTTAATGTGCTTAATTATGATTCTACTTATATATTTATTTATTAATCATTAGAGTGAAATCTTGATTCTTTTTATCCCACAAAGTATTCATTTTCAGCATATTCATTTTTCTTTTCTACAAAAACACGGTCTTTTTAATTCATACAAATACTAATTTATATTAAAATTTTATCATTATGCTTAAATATGGGTTTATATATAATAACTTTTCTAATTAAATATATATAATTTAATAAAATGTACTATTTAACATTTTTTAACTTATTATTTGATTTTCAAATTTTATAATTTTATTTTTCTAAATGATATCAGAATTAAGTTGCTTGGGTATCCAATAAATATTTAGAAATTATCTCTGAATAATTTTATTTCCAAATTTCTAGAATTAAATCTTTAGAAAAATCTTCCACAGGTTTTAATTTATTTCAAACAAAATAAATATCCTTGTAAAATTCTAAAATAATATCATTTATATCTTATTATATTTATATATTGGTCAAAATAGAGAAAATCTACTGAATTTAACAGTGTAGAGGAAAACATAATTTCTTTATATCCGATTTTACTTCCATTAATGTTTAATTATAGCATTTTTCTTACCATAGAGTTATTTATTTCTCTAAATCTAATTCTTCTTTGCATTCACTTTTTTTATGATTTTCTGCAATTTAAATTGTCTAATTTTATTAGCTAAAATAAAAGCATAAATGTTAACAAATTTAATTTAATTTATCCTTAAATGTTTGAATTCATTTTACTATCAGTTTAATTTACATTCATGCTAATTCTATTATAAATTTCTATTCAAAATTTAATAATATAAATTAAAAAATAGGATTAGAAGGCTTTTATATCTTGAAAATTATAGATTAAAGAATGATAAATAATAAATAACATAATATTTTGAATAAAACTATAGTAACTATATACAAATTCACTGTTTTTATCTCTATATATTTGAGTAATACAGTTCTGATGGATGAGTAATTTTCTTACATTTTGGTTCAAATAAAGTTCTCCATAATATAAGTATGTCTTTAGGATTATATCGTTCTGGATCCGAAATTTTGAGGTAATATAACTCTTTAAAAAAGCTTAATTCAATTTCCCGAACTCTTTCTGCTTCTTATGATTCCATTTTATTATAATTAGGTAGAAAAAGAGCTAGTCCAGGTTATTATTTTAATGAATTTAGCTTTATTTCATTTATTAATTATTCTAAAGATTTAAATTCTGGCATAATCTGCTACTTTTATTATTATTACTATTATTATTACTGCTATTTATTTTATTAATTATCTTAAATCTATTACAAATATTCCTTAGTTAATTATTATTAGTATTATTATTATTATTATTATTATTATTATTATTATTATTATTATTATTATTATTATTATTATTATTATTATTATTATTATTATTATTATTATTATTATTATTATTATTATTATTATTATTATTATTATTATTATTATTATTATTATTATTATTATTATTATTATTATTATTATTATTATTATTATTATTATTATTATTATTATTATTATTATTATTATTATTATTATTATTATTATTATTATTATTATTATTATTATTATTATTATTATTATTATTATTATTATTATTATTATTATTATTATTATTATTATTATTATTATTATTATTATTATTATTATTATTATTATTATTATTATTATTATTATTATTATTATTATTATTATTATTATTATTATTATTATTATTATTATTATTATTATTATTATTATTATTATTATTATTATTATTATTATTATTATTATTATTATTATTATTATTATTATTATTATTATTATTATTATTATTATTATTATTATTATTATTATTATTATTATTATTATTATTATTATTATTATTATTATTATTATTATTATTATTATTATTATTATTATTATTATTAGTATTATTATTATTAAATTAATTAATTTTCTTAAATTTTTTATTCTTCAAATTAAAAATCGTGAAAGTCATTTGCTTTCATTATTTTTTTTTGGTCAATTAATTATTATGATTCTAGAAATATTTCTAAACCATTATAAAATTGACGTAATTCTTAAGAAGATTAATCTATTATATTTTTGATTTTTTCTAGAAATTAACAAAGTTTATGGTAATGACTAGTTTCAAATGTTGCAACAGAACCTTGTTATGAATTACATAATTCAATTTATTTTGCTAGAGACTTTGATTCACTTTCTTCTTTTTGTTATGGCTCCAAAGAATTTAAATTTTAAACATGATGTTCCTATTATTTTTCATCTGATTCAATTAATTTTTGTTCAGATTCTTTATACAAGAATGCAAAATCAAAGTTATTCAGAACTCTAATCTAAAATTCTTTTATTAATGAAGAATCAAAATTATCAGCCCTTTATAATTTTGCACAAATTTCTTATTGAATTTCTTTAATATAATCTTTCTAACTCATCTTACTCAGACATCTCCATAATTCAGCATTAGGATAACTTTATAAAGTTTTATAGCGTTTTTCAGATCCTGGTTTGATTGACGAGCATAAAAGAAATGGATGAAATCCCAAATTTCTTACATTAAATCCTTATCTTGCCCAAATCATAATCTTCTTGATCAAAAGCTTCTTTTATTTATCTCTCGATTTTTAAGTTTTTTTCTGCTTCTCCTCTTAAAGCATTTAAATAATAATTTAAGTTATTTCTGATTAGGAATAATTTGATATTTTAATTCTATTTATGGAACGAATGAAAGTTTATTTATATTAAGAGATATCTATTAGAAAATGATGTAGAATTATGTGAATAAGAAAATAAATTATTAAGTGATAACTTTTCTAACTATTATTAATATTTATTTAGAATTTAATATGAAATAAAAATAAGTTGATCCAGAAGAGTTAGTTAAATAAGTTCTTAGTAATGTACCAGAATCGTTTGAAGAATTAAAAGAGAATTTAGATTGGTAACTAGGGATAGATGAAGCTGGTAGAGGTCCAGTTCTTGGGCCTATGTTATATGCTTCATGTTATTGGCCTATGAAATATCATAAATTGATTTCATAAACATGTGAATTTGTAGACTCTAAGTAAATTAATGAAGCAGCTCGTGAAAGACTATTCGATGTTTTATGTTAATTAAAGGGTAAAGTTTTAACATTTGAAACACGAGAATTAAGCGCGGAATATTTATCAAAAAATTAATAAGCTTATTTAATTACAAATTTAAATGATATATCTCATAATACTGCAGCAGAGCTTATTTAAAGTGCAATCAAAAAAGGTTTTAGGATAAAAGGTATTTTTTCTGATATATGTTAGAAATTTATGTGGACACAGTTGGACCTAAACAAACTTATAAAGCTTTTTTATAAGAAAAGCTTTAAAGTTTAGGTAAAGCCGCTGAAATTGTGGTGGAAGAGAAGGCAGATTCTAAATATGCTAATGTTAGTGCAGCTTCAATTTGCGCCAAAGTTACAAGAGATTAGAGAATAATATAAATATCACAAGAACTTTTGCCTAATGATTCTATTGGATCAGGTTATCCAGGAGATCCAAAAACCAAAAAATATTTGGAAAATACTAATATACCTTTTTTTGTTTATCCAAAATATATTAGATTTTCTTGGCAAACCATTAAAACGATAATAACAAAAAGGGATTTATGCATTGAATTTAAAGATGAATAAGAATCAGCAAAACAAGTTAAAAATTTAGATAACTATTTTAAAAAAAATAACACAAATAATGCATTCAGTTATGATTATAGAACTTTAACAATTACTAACTGCATTCTGTGAGTTTAATATTTAATATTTAATGAGAGATTTTAAATAAAAAAATATTAATAGTTATTTTATAAATTTTCTTTTCTAATATAGTTTATTGATATGTGTTCTTCAAAATCCATTTAATTTAATTTCTTAATAAAGAAAAGAACTTCAATTTTATTATACCTATATAGTATTAGAAACTCATTGAAGAAGAATATTTAAAATTTAAAACAAAATTTTAATTTTTAATCTCTTAAGATAAATTAATATATACATATGTATTAAAGAATATGATTAACAATTATTAGATATATATAAAAAAATAAGATTCAATATTATTTAGAATAATGTAACTTTAAATGAAAATTTGAAAAAAAGTCATGTAAGAGTAAAAATAGAAAATTTTATAAGTAGATTAAAATCTTAAATGATCGAGTTAATTTAAAAATAGATAGATGGGAATAAGAAATTCTAATTATTAAGAAATAATCTAGAAGGCAATCTTAATTTTTGTGAAAATCGTAATGAATAATTTTATTTTATTAACAACTTTTCTTTTAAAAAAATAAAAATATATGTAAAATTAATATTTTGTGAAAGGTTTAGGATTTGCTCAAAGATAGGAGCCACAAGAAACAAGATCATATGGGCGTATAAAAAAGAGTCCATATTCAGCATATAATAATCGAAGTTACAATTTAGTATGTGGAAAATTTTAAATTTAGAATTATCGTGATATCAGAAATTACAACGATCGTTTTAAGAGATTAATTCAAATTGTCAATTAAGCAATTAAAAACTAAGCAGCTACAATGTTTAAATATTTGAGGTGTATTTAATTTGTAAAGTTAGCATTTATGTTCAAAATAAATAATAAGAAGAGATCAAAGCTTAATAAAAAGTAATACAGGATGGGCTATTAAGATTTTAACATGCTATATCATTATATAATCATCGATTGAAATGTTTAGGCTTTTTACGCTTGGCTAAAGTTGATGTAGTATCACATTTGAAAAAAGAGTTAAGAAATTAAAAATAATAAACTTAATAACCTTTAACCCATTAAATATTCAGAAAATGGATGTAGCTAACCTTTGAATAAAAATTTACTAGACTATTAAAATAGCAAAAATTGAATATGATAAGTTTTTATTAATTTACTTTAAATAAAATACTAACAAAGGAAGAATCTCTAAAATCATGGAGTTTTAACAAATTAAAAACTGCACAGAGAAAATAAATTATAAATAAATTAATTACTAATATAGGTTTATAATAATTGCGATTGAGTTTATTCAATTCTGAGGAAGCAACGTATTAGTATTTAATAAAGCCTTAAAACTTACAAAAAATAATTGCATTCTAAAAGTTAAAGCATTTTTAATATTTTAATTCAAATCAGCATTATTTTATATTAATTTTCACGAACACCATCAGTAACATCATTAAATTACATAAGATAGTAAAATAAATGCATTGAGAACTTTGTTCATATAATCCATTAGAATAATAGATCAAGAAGTTGAGCATACAGTACCAAAAGAGTAATTACAATAATTTGACATTGAATTAGCTAGATTATCTGTGCACTCTAAATTGGAGCATTAAAAAATGTTATAAAGATAGCTGAAACAAACTGATTAAGAATCTCATAGAGGGATTTGTGAAATATTGAAATATATAGTCAATAAGCAACTATATCCAATATTTTATTAAATAAAAGGATTAAAATAGTCTTAAGATGCTGAAGTTTAGGATGGCACCGTGAAAAATTTAGTAAAAGTAGATTTTATTAAAGAGTGTTATAGCAGCCCGATTAAGTTAGAAAATTAAAGCAAAAAATGGAAAATCCTAAAAACTTGAGATTATTTTTCGTATTGAATAGATTTTTCGAAGAAATTATCATCATGAACGAGAAATTCTAAGAAATAAATTTAAATAATGGTAAATCAATATAACTTTTCCTACTTCACTGTATCATGATTTTGAAATCAGACTTAGAGTTTTAAGAAATGAGAAGGTAATTATATAAAATTAAAATTTAGGAAGCCATTATGGGTGATATTGAATAATTAGAAATTTTGAATAATGAATTATTGATGACAATGAATTAAGTGAAAAAAACATTTTTGTCTGAAGAATCAAATTTTAATACATCTCACAAAAACGAATAAAAATAAATTGAAATTTAAAGATTTGATATTTAAGAAAATTTAACTACATAAAAAGAATTCAAGATTGCTTTTGAATATGTAGATTATTTAAAAGAAGATGTAATTTAATATATATCATATGTATAGAACATTAATCTAAAGAAACAATTTTAAAAGAATGAATAATTAATGATGGAAGAAATCTAATAATTAGAATTATAATTATAAGTAAAAATAATTTTTATTTTCTTTTAGGAGCTTAAAAAAGAATTAGATAATTGAATCTTGCTAAAAATTATTTTTTATATTCGCTAAAAACAATTATTTTTTAAAAATAAATTTTGAATTTTTGAAATATGATTATAAATATTTTATTTATTAAAAACAGAAACTAGTAGAGCAACTAAATATGTCAAAATCACTTATGCCAGCATCTAAAAAAGTTATAAAGTAAGAATTACAACTGAATTGTAATATCAAATCACTAACCAATATACCTTAATCAACAAATAGGATATAAGAAAAGTAGTTCTAAATAAAATATAGTTTTATTGAAATCAATAATGAAACCTTAACAAAAAGATCAAATTATCATTCTATATTAAATGATAAAAAATTTTCTCTAGCAAAAATAAAAGATAGAGATTCTGAACTTGATTGTAAATTGAAGGAATTAAAATTGATCAATTTAGATAAAAGTTAGCCTAAGGGTATTTTGAAACCTACTAATTCAAAAAGTAAAGATCATTCAAACGATCATTAAGATATTTTTGAGTAGAAATAAATTCATACCAAAAGAATCAAATTTTCTAGCTTAAAACCAATTAAATCTCCATATGTTTAAATAAACACAGATATTATTGAGACACTCTCTCCTAAAAAGGTCTCTTTTAATACTTAAGTACACATTAAATTGATAGAGGAAAAGTTTTAATTTAAACCAAAAAGATAGTGTTAGCAGATCTTATTGATAATATATGATTACATTTTTAGAATAATTATTTAGTTAATTTATTTATATATTATTTTTTATTTTCTTAATTTAGAAGAAAAACAACCTATTTAAATTAATCATACAAATGTATCACAAAATTATTCATCATCAATATATAAGATTGATAAAATTTTAGACTTTAGAAGGAATTTTTATTACTAATATATTTTATTTATAAATATATCTTGATTAATTTCAGTAATTATTAATTTATTATACTTTTTAATTAACAGCTTTAAAATGTATAGTAATTGAAAATCATCTGTAAAAGACTTCAAAGAAATTATTAGAACTTTTGTTTTATTTTTAGGAGACATAGTAATTTAAATTTTTTTAATAACATTAGCGATCCTATAAATTTTATATTTGTTAAGTTCTTTGGATATAAGAATTCTAATTCTTATTGATAGTGTTCTTTTGCTTTTTTCATTAATTTTATAAAGCAAGACATTATAATTAAATATGCACTGTATAAAATAATATCAATAATACACCTTTTTGGTCATCACATTATAGAAATCTTCAAATGTCATTTTGCCATCTTAATTAGAATCAGTTTTTTTAAAGATCTTAATTTTTATAAGTTAAAATTACCTCTGCTAATACTTCTTCATCAATTTCTTCTTTCAAATCTTTATAGACTACTTATCTTAAATCTTGAAGAGTTATAAAACCTTTATTGTTTTTATCATATTTTCTATATACTCTTCTGATTGTATCCTTTCTTTCTGCTTTAGATTTGTCTTAATTTAAAATACTAAGAAAATATTCAAATGTAATTCCTCCTAATTCATCTTCATCTAATTCTGAAAAAATCTCTAAAATGTAATGATTATACATAATACCATATAGAGTCTCTTTAGTTGGATGATATCCACAACTAGTAAGTAGTTACTCCAAATCATTTGGTGATAAAATACCAGCCTATTCTGAATCAAAATAATCAAAAACTTGCTTAATATCTATTATATCAGATTCCTTTCATGAAAAACTACAAATACTTTTAGATCTTTAGTCACAAATTTCTTAGGATTAAATTCATTTGGATTGCCACCTTTAGCTGATGTTCTTTCATTAGCAATTTATTTTCTAATTTATCCTCCCTAAGCTAGAGCATTATTATGAGATTAGTTAATCTTCATTCTAGCTCTTATTGATTCTCTATTTTATGGAATCCTATTGGTTGAAATGCTAGATTCATCTAATTATGTATTTGGACTATCTCTCATAATAGATTAAGTAGTTCTAAAAGGACTCTATTAAACTTGATATTTTGAGTTACTTATGATTTTCTTTAATTTCTCATTTTATATTATTTATAATATATTAAATTGTTTCATCATACCAGATATTCAAATCTTTCCTTCCTAAAAAGAGAACTGCAAAAAATAATTAATTCATGGATTAACAAATGAGAATAAATATGAATTCTAATAGAGATATAATATATGTAATCACCATTTTATTTAATGAAATATAGTATAAAATTTATTTAATGGCAAATTATTTATTGAATTTACATTAAATGAGTAATGTATAAAAATAAATTAATGAATAGAAAATGAATGGGGTTCTCTCTTTTAATAATGATTTCTAAATTTTTGAAGAATGAAACGAAGTTGATAATATTTTAATGTCTCATAAATTATTTTATTTTAAATCTTTTATTTATTTATTTATGAATCAGCCTTAATTTTAGGCACTTCCTTCATATGAAAATTTGGATATGATTAGGAAGACCTTTTAGCCATTGGAACATATAAATTTTGAGCATGAATTTAAGAATTTAGAAAAAAGCAAATATTTCATAATTCGTACATAAGGTGAAGATAATGTACATAGAGCCATGAAATATGGTATTTGGACAAGGTAGTGTAAAATTTAATATTCAGCTCTTCTCGAAAGAATGAACGATTGAATGAAGCATTTTCATAAGGAGATGTTTATCTCTTTTTTACTGAAATAAACAGTCTTTGCTTTAGTGGAATGGCCAAATTGACTTCAGGATTTGATCCTAAATCGCATTTTAAATATTGGCTTATTGAAAACAAATGGTTTGGTTTGTTCTAAATAAAATGGGTAAGCACCTTTGCTTAATGTAGTTATATGTAAAGGATCTTCCTTTTAAATTATTTGAGAATATCAAATAAATCCAAAAATTTGAAGGAAGTGACGAAACAATTAAATCAGTTTATGACTTGATCGATTGTACTGAGTTAAATCTTGAAAACGGAATCAAAATGGTAGAAATTTTTAAGAAAGAGGAATCCAAGAAAAGTTTATTTGAAGATTTCACTTAATTAGATAAGTTAGAAGTAAGTTTTATAAATATTTAGAATCAAAGTAGATAATAGAGAGATTCGAATCCAAATTTTGAAAAGAAGTTTTAAGAATTGAGATCTGTATTTGAAACAATTCCTTATTCCTTTTCTGCAGCTTCTTATGAGAGAAGATAACAACGAAAACCTTAATATGGATATTATAATTATGGTAATTAATATATAATTATTTAAGGTTACTATTAATAACCTTAATACTGGTAATCTAATAGTGGATTCTATTAATAAGAATAATATTAATAATATCCATATTAACAATATTAAAATAAGTATTAAGAATCAAATGATCAAAAGTTTAATAAGAACGAGAGTTAGCAACCTGTAAATTTAGAGGATAAATTTGAAATGTAATAAAATAGAAAATATAAATATGATAAAAAGAAAAGATTTAATAATCGTAATAACTAATAAATTGAGTATGTTTAAAAGTATCAATAAGAAACAATAGTATAGTAAAACATATGAAACATTAAAATTAAAAAAAAGACAATAATAATCAAATTTATTACACTCTCTAGTGTTATTTTCGTTTATGCTAATCATCATTCTACAGTAACAATGGCATTTATTCAAGTGGTTACAAATTAATATCTATTTAAATAAAAAATTTACTTTTTTTATTCTTATTAGGAGTGACATGAGATAAATTGTTATTATTAGCACTCCCATTATTAACATATTAGCTATTTTAGATTTAAATACAGTTATCCTTGTTGTCTAAAGGACTAAGAATAATTTTTTGATTTAATTTTTTCTCTATAAATTGTTAGTTAACTTAATCACTCTGAAAGCGTAATTTTCCTTCTTATTATTCTAACATTTAATAACTTTATTTAATTTTATCTGCAATTATTTATCCTTTTTCAAATTAAGGTTAACTTAATCCATGTTATTTTTATTAAGATTCTAAGAATTAATTTAATAAAATACCTTTACTTGGAATTCTAGGAGAAACAATTCTTTATTTATTATCTTAATCATAATCTAAATTATTGATTTTTTTATTTATTTATTTAGAATTAATTTCTAGTACTCTTTCTGATTTTTCTACCTCAATTAAATCCATGGCTTAGATTTTATTATATAATAGTAGTACCTTATTTATATGGTAAAGAGGGAAAGTTTACTTTTTTTGCTTTAAAATTAAAAGGAGGGATTTTATATTCTTGAGCATCATCATCCCATTCACTTGCAGCTTAAAGTGTCTCTAATTCATTTTAACTAAACATCATCTTAACTAAACCTGCATATAATTTAATTTCCTTCTGTTAATTTCTTATAGTTTCTAACATATCTTCTTTTTCATATTCTACTTCTTATTTTAAATCTTTTTATTCTATTGTAGCTTCTTCTAATTTCTTTCTTAAATATTTAATAAGTTTTCTTAGTTTTTCAACTTCCTCTTAGACACTTTAATATTTCGTTTCTATTTATAACATTTCTTATTATTGTTGTTCTTATTATTATATCAAAGCTTCATGTTCTTTTTTCTATTATTCAATAGCTTGTCTAATTTTTTTGTATTTCTTTTTATCATCTTCACTTCCCTTTCCTCCTTAAACCATCATTTATTCTTTTTCTTTAAGTATTTATTCTAATCTTTATCTAGCTTATTTTTCTTATTCAGCTTAGTTTTCTTTTTCTCTCATTTCTTATTCAAATTTTTCTTTTTCTAATTGAAGTTAATTATTTTTTTGTTTAAATTCTTATAATTCTTTAAATTTGTCTTCAGAATGTTCATTTTGTGGTAATATTTATAGATTATTTTTTAATTATAATAACCTATCATTTTCTTCTTTTAATCTAGAAATCTCTGCATTATGATTATTATTTGGTTAATATAATTAAAATGCTTCTAATTAAATAGGTTATCCAGCTGCTTGTTTTGATAATAATTCTTTTAATTTTTTAATTTCCTCAGCTTATTCTTTTAATAAAGCATCTTTTGGATCTTCATTAACTTTAGGTTAATTTTTAATCATCTTTGCTCTTGAAGCATATCTTAAACTAGATGCAGTCTCATCATAATTAAAATCTGATGGACTAATTGCTGTAATCATAATAGTTTTAGTATTTCCTCCTAAAGAATCCTATAATAATCTAGTTAATTTTGAATCTCTATAAGGAATATGTTAAGTTTTCCCATCTACTAATGCTGAAATCACATTTCCTAATGCTGATAATGATAAATTAATTTTTGTAGCTTCTTTTAATCTATCTCCTGTAGCTTATGTTTTTGATTACCTTTCACTTCCTGCCAAATCTACTAAATTCAATTTACCTGCTGTTATTCTCTCATTTCCTTTACCATCTGTTATAGAACATTCAATATATACTGTAAATATACAATGACTTCTACTAGATTCTTTATTCATAGCTGTTGCACCTACAGATCTGTTTTAAGTACCTAATTACATATACTTATCCATTTCTTATGTTGTCTTTACTACTACTATATTCAAATCTTTTATAAATACTCCCTACTATCCTTCTTTTAATTCGTATTTCTATTTTACATCTTTACTTAATAAATCATGAATTTCTTCATTATATATTTCTATATATGAACATCTTAATAAAAATTTTTTATTCGAATCTGAATTATTATTGATTATGTTTATTATTTGATCAAATGTCCTTGGAATTATCCCTTTCATGCTTTCCTAAAATTCATTTAAGATCTTACATTCATTGGATCTCCTATCATCGTAAATGTCTTACCACAACCTAATTTTCACAAACTTTTATGTACCTGTTTAACCATATGCAAATATTGTTCCATTATAACCATCAGCAACAGATTCAACTAAATTAAATGCTGTCTTCTAATATATTTATAATTGTGGGGTCTCAGCTCCAAATACATAATCATATGTAAAATTCTTCACTTCATTATCCTGACTCTAATTAACATTTAAACCATCCTTATTACATTTCGCAATTCAATACTATTTGTATCCTCATATACTGTTACACATGGTTTACTTCCATTTTCTTTCTCTCTTTAATTAAATGGACGCATTCGCACTATCACTTTTACACATTCTGCAGGCATTAATAATTTATTTATTATTTATTACTTTTTTGTATTATCTTACAAAAAATAGTAGAACTTTAAAAAATTTTATTCTATTTTTTAGTCACTACAAATACATTACATCACATCACACCATTTTTAAAAATGAAAAAATATTAATTTTTTTTATTTTAAATTGAAATCAATAAATAAAAATGCAATCCTAACACTACGTTGTTTATTCAAAAAAAAAACTTTTTTTTCAACCTATATTTTCAAAAATTGTTTAACTTAAACTTAAATAAATTATTTTCGAAGAGTAAAAAGATTCTTTTTTTATCTTCTAAAAATAAATTAAGGACCTGCTCATTTTCAATTCATAATTAAATAATATAAATAATTACAAAAGAAATGATTGGAAATATAGTACAAGTAATTGGAGAATTGCTTAATTGCAAAGTTGACTTTCTTTGTACTGCTTAATTATCAAGTGAAAAAAAATATTTTGCTGTTGTGGCTAGTGATAGGCTATTATTTATAGCAGGAAAATTGGAAAAGGTTGAAATGTCTTTAGAATATGGTAAGATAAAAGGATTAGTTATTTCCACAAGAGTACCAACAATGTTTTAAATTCATTCCGATATAATAATTGATATTTATGCACTTGAAAGAAAATAGTTAATTTAAGCGCTTAGATATTCATGGATGACTGATTTTATGCATAAAAATTTTTAGTTTAAATAGTTACCTATGTATAAAGATGATATCAAATCTAATATTTCAGAAAAATAAGCGATACTTCCTAATCTTTTATTTACTAGACATGGAAAACAAATCTATAGAAATAAAAATTATACATTTAGTTTACCAGAAGAATATATATCAACATATCAAGATGGTGTCTATGTACACAAAGAAAGTTAATAATGCAAAATAATAATTTAAATTACAGATCCTATGCCCATTTAATTATTGAGTTAGATAGGGGAAAAAGCCAATTTATAATATTATTCTGAAATGTTCTTAGAAATCGTTTTAAAAGGAATAAATTCTAAAGATGAAAGTAAAAAATAAGAAACTAATCAAAGAAGTGAGGACAGCGATGAGGATGGAAAAATATAAGATGAAGATTAATAGGAAACTAACAAAAAGGAAGAAATACTTGATTATTGGATCATTTCTTCTCATAATTATAAAAAAAGATCGAATTTAATGAATGATGTTTCTGAATGGTATGGATGGGAATTACATGCAAGAACTTAAGTTTAAGATATTTTTATTATTATTTTGAGAAGAGTACACATTCCTCCAATTTTTGAAACATATTAAGAGATATTATTTGTTTTATATGGATAGGAATAAAATGCTAAAGAATAGGTTTTAGTAAATGATAGAGATTTATTAAAATTAACATTAGAATAGGATTTAGAAGAACATGCATTTAAAAATGTGTTAAGAAATGCAATTGATTCTTTATCATGTAAAATGTTTATATTTGAGAAACAATATCAGATATTTATATAATTATCTGCAGATAGATTATTATATAACAGATAAACATTAAATTTCATTTATAATAAATTCAAAATATTTCCATAATTCATGAGTTATGCTTTAAAATATCTAAAATTATTATTTTAACGTTTAGTATTATATGATAAAGAAAGATTTTTAATATTAGATAAAGAATTAACATAGAAGTATGGTTTTATTTTAAAAAATCTTAAAGATTATATGACAGAAACAGTTGAAAATGATGAGAATCTCTAAGCATTATTTGATGCATTTGAATAAGCATCATTTGTAAGAGACAAATCAGGTAATGAAGAGGAGAGAAAGTTTATTTGGTAATAGAAATTATCTAATTATATGGGCATATGCCTTGATGGTCTTTTAATGGGATCAGCATTCAGCTTTAAAGATTTAGTTCCTGTATTATAAGCCAAAGTTAGTATGGAATTAAAAACAATAATCTTAGAATTATTTGATTATTGTTTATATGCTGTACCAAAAAAAGAATGTAGACCCATTAAAAAAGGAAATTTCATTAAAAGATTAGAAGAATTAGCATCAAATAAATATTAATACAATGTAAATATAGCAAAATCTTTAATTGAAGCAAACTTCTTTTCTTAAGAAGTACTACTTTAAGAAAGATCAGGATTATATAGTAGCTTAATTTGTTACTTTCTTTAATCTGAAAATGTAGACATGATAGTTGCTATTTGCCGTCATATAATAAATTTTTAAGCAGAAATTAAACATACTACAGGATTAACAGAGGCTATGATAACAGCATTTAAACCTATTTCTGTTGAATTAATAAGATTGTATAGAAGTCATAATAGAACTATCGCTACTTTAGCTTGTGCATCATTATTTAATCTATGTACAAATTCAAGAGAATTTAAATATATTATTTTAAATGATGATGGAGCAAGTCTACTTGTGAGTAAATTAGTAACCAAAGATAATTTTTTATTGCATTTTGCTTTAAAGTAAATAGATTTTATAATTTAGATTAATATATTGTGTAATGAGTATAACATAGAACATTGAGAAATTATTGGCAGCAAATTTAACTGATTATTTATATAAAGTCTTAGAAGGACCTTAAATAAAAGGTTGTCAATATGATGCTCGATGTCTTATAACAACATGCCAAATTTTAAGTGTTTGTTTGGTAAGTGAAGTTGAATTAAGAAATATTGATCATTTACTAATTTTATTGTATAATATGGTCACTACTTAAGCTGATTAATATTTTTTGGATTAAGAAGAATCTGTTAATCTAAAGAGTGAAGCTTTATATGTTATGAGTAAAATGTGTCACAAAAGTGCAGAAGTTAAGAAAAAGGTTAATTAGGAATGTGTGCCTTTTTTATTAAAACTAATGGAAAAACTAACATATCATTAAGTTTAAGAGAAAATTATCATGTTATTGTGTATTTTAATAAAAGAAAATAAAGAATGGGCTTTGGATTGGTTATAAATGTAGATAAAATTACAAGATATATTAACAACATATCATAATAATGATATATAATCATCTAATTATCTATTGTCATAAATCAAATTTATAGATGACGAAGCTAAAAAAGTAAAAAATGAAGAAATGAAACGATCAAAACTTGCTCCTACAGCCAGTGTAATTGCAGAATAAATGATGGAATAATTATAATAATAAGAATCTACTATTTAGGATAATAATAAAAAATCTATTGTTAGTGAAGGAAAATCTTCAATGATTGATGATTCTAGGATAACTACTTCTATTTTAAATAATAAATCTAAAATAAATGCTAGTTTATTGAAAAAATCTTCAGCTTAATGAATTTTTTTTATTATTTAAGATTAAACTTTTAAAATATATGAAATATAATTAATAAATCAAGATTGCATTTAATTTTAAAGTTCATAAATATCTTAAGCCTTTTCTAAATAAGAGACTAATTTTCCACTTTAAATTATTTCTCTTACTAATTTAAAATCATCTAATGTTACATTCTCTTTAAGATGCATCAACTATTTTATTTATTATTAATATTATTATCTTTCTTCTTAAAAATTAAATTAATCTTCAACCTATCCACTCTTAATTATGATCATCAACTTGATTAAATGATTTTTACATTAATTCATTAACTTTCTCTTATTCTTCAATCAATTTCTATTTATATATTCCCAATCCTCTCTCTAAGATATAATCACATCCTATTAATTATTTGAATTAGATCTATTTTAATTTGCAATTTATCTTGAAAACTATTACAATGATTCCAAATCTAATTAATCCTATTAAAATGCTAATAATTCTTTTTCTTTAATCTCTATCACTTGAATCAAATTATTAATTATTTCATTTTGAGAATTTATAATAATTTTATCATTTTCAATTTACAATTTCATTGAAAAAATATTTTAGTTTTCTTCATTCTTGTTTTCTCTAACTATAAGCTTCTAAATTTTAAATATTATTTTCTTTCCTCATCAAATTTATCAAGATATTGATTATACATTTGTAAAAGAGTACTATTAATTTCATTTGAATATAGACTCCTTTACTCACCGCCTTAATTTTTAATTCATTTTATAAATTTTATCTTTCTAATTCAGAGTTTTCTAAATGATTCTTGACTGGTTATAATTCCATTTATAATTCAATTATTTACTTCTATTTTTTTCTAATTATAACTGCTTTATTTTTAAATATAAATTTATTAAGATTTTATATATTAGATAATAGTATTAAAATTATAATTAGCGCATAAAATTCAGAAATAACTATTTATTTAATTGTGTATTTACTTAAGCAATATAAACTTATAATTATATTAATATGGGTCTTAGACATGCTTAAACAAAGATAAATAAAAATTTAGAGCCTCCAATTAATATATTCCTTTTTATAGCGATTATATTTTAAAAATATAATAATTTTAGATTCGATAAAATATTTGAAAAGATATTTATTTTTTTTATTATTATGCTTGCAGATAATAAAGATACTTAAATATGCTTTTAAATTGGAAATCTAATTAGATATTGTATAAATTAAACGAATCATTCGATTATTATTTTTGATTTTCTCCTCGTGATTTACAAAATACTACAAATATTCTAGTTAATGATATGGTCAACTTAAAAAAGAGAAATTAATATTTTAGATTAATTTCTGAGTTTACTTTTTAAAGATACTAATTGTTATATTGTAATTTATTAAATCAATGCTTCTGTAGATATTTTTGAGATCCCATAATTTTATAAAAAGATATAAGCATTTAAGTATTCCCATAAATTATTATTTTCAATCTCAAAATATTTTTATAATAGTAGAAAGATGATGGGGAAAGATATAAATGAAATGATTAGGAATATGAATTAACAATTAAAGAAGATTAAAATTGGTAAAAAAATAGTTATAATAATTTTGAGTAAATAATTGACATTTTTTAAAAATAATCCACCATTAAAAGATATTTAGAGAAAAAAAGTTAAAATCTATCTTGGTTCCATAATTTAAGTATTTCAAACATCAACAAAATTTGAAATAGATTTTGAAATAAAATTTGGAGATATTTTTCATTTAAACAAAGGTCAATCTCAAAAGTAATTTAACTAGTAAACTAGTAGTCTCTACAATTGCAAATTTGATTTAAGAAACTTAAAGAAAATAAATAAAATAATCTATTGAATTAATCTGAAAAAGAGTTTTACATTTATAATAATATAAATTTATTCATATCATAAAAAATAATGAATGAAAGGGAATCACGTACATCTTATAGAGCATTCTCTTCAAATCCTACTTCTGCACCTTAAAATGCTTATGCTACAGCACTTAAGTCATTATAAAACAAATTAAAGGGAGTTGAAGAATTTAAAAAATCTATTGATAATCCTTCTAATTGCCTAATTGATTAACTCAAAAAATAAATAAATGATTTGTAAAATGAAAATGAAAAATTGTAATTTTTATTAATGAAAACTAATCAAGAAAATTAGATGAATTTTGTCGCATCATAATAAATTGAAGTTTTATAAGCTGAAAGATTATAACATCTTAAAGATTATTAAGATAGAGTTAGTGATTTAATCAGAAAAAATGAAGAATTAAAACATGAAAAACATGATATTTAAATTGCATTTGACATTTTACAAAGATAATTATAAGCATATAAATCTAATGAAAAAGGATTTTTACATAAAGTTGAACTTAAAAAATTTGAAGAAAATGCTTCTCTTTTAACAAGTGTTTAAGATCTTAAAATCAAACTTGATTTAAAGGATTAATAACTTAAAAAAATAGAAAAAAAAATTGAATTTTTAGAAAATGAAAAAGAATAGGTTCTTCAAGAATTTTCTAATTATAAATCTAAATATCCTCCAATGAAATTACATGATTTCGAAAAACAAATTCATGCATTAAAAATTTAATTAGATGAAAAAGATAAGCAACATTCTAGATATATTGATGATATTGAAAATAATAAAAATATTAGAGAAGAATAATTAAATAAAAAAATCTAAGATTTAAATAGTAAATGTAATGAATATTAATAAATTATTGAACAACTAAATTAAGATTATAAAGATTTAAGTCTGAGATACCAGTAAGTTAAAATTAAATTAGATTATGAAGAAAGATAGCATAGATATATTAGTAGAAAGTTTAGTTAAGGGGAAACTGAAATTAAATAAGATTATAAAGAATAGAAAACTATAACTAAATTAAATATAGATTAAATGCCTTCTCCTCTAACAAGTCCAAGATTAGATCATAATAGCTTGAGATAAAATTCATTAAAATAAGCTATAAAAGAATGTTTGGAAGACATGTAAAACACTTCTAATTTTAAATTTTGTAGTTCAGATAAAAAAACTGAAAATAAAAAGTAGTAATTGTTATCACCTTTTTAAAACTCTCGTTAAGAAGAAATTGAAACAAAACTCAAAGGACTTAATCAAAAATATGAGAATTTAATTTGGTAAGCTTAAAAAGAAAATGATTTAAATTAAAAAGCTTTGATTAGAAAGTAATTACTAGAAATAGCAGAATAAATAAAAGAAACTAGTAAGTTTGAAAAAACATGAAAAATAATTACATTCTATTGTGTGATTTTTTGATTTGATTGATTTGAAATAATTCACTTTATCTTTTTTTAACATTAAGATTGTTTATCATTTAAAATATAATTGAATTTATGATGGAAATCTATTAATTTAATAATTTATTAATATTTTAATAAGAAAGTGTTATTATTAATTTATAAGATGTTTGTACTTATTCTGATTCCATATGCAATTTGTACATAATCGAATTTTATAAACATTGGAAAAACTTACGATGGGTAATAACCCAATATATACATTTAGATAAATCAATTCTAATAGTGAAGATTCTATTGGTCACAGCTATTATTTTGAAATTTCTGAACTCATCAACAATGCTGATATTATTATTATTGTAAGTTAAAAAACTCCTTAAGGTGATCCAAATATATTTTTATCTCTTTTAAATCCTGAACCATATTCAATAGATGAGAGTGAACTTGGATATTGCTAATCATATGGAAGTGGTATATATTTAAGTTTGAATTTGAGATTTATGTGTCATAGATAAAAAACTGTTACAAATTGATAAACCTTATTATATTGGTATAACATGTTCAGAAGATTGCAGATATACGTTAAAAGTGAATTATGATTTAGAATAAAAAATGTTTATGAGTAATTACTATTATTTTAAATATACATAGATGATTTATTGAGATTTAAAATGAATGAAGGAGTTTCTAGTCAGGTAGTAAAAATTCAAATAGATCATAATCTAGATATTCAAGAATTAGAAATTACAGGAAGAATAATTAATTATAATGAAATTTAAACTGCTTTCCATATGTATCTAAATTTAGGAGAGACTCTTCCAAGTTCTTAATCATAAGATTATATTGGTAAAGATTTTGAAAATGGTCATAAGTATTTAATCTTACCATAGATTAAATTAATAAACACTAATATTTTGACTATGATAGTTGAATCTCAAGTTGGTTCATTAATTGAATTAAAAACTCAAACTTATGGAAAAATAAGAAAATGCATATTATAATCTATAATATAAGGAGAAGTTATGTAAAATTAATCTCATCATTATCAAGTAGAAATACAAGATTAAATGGATTCTAAAAATCATTTGGTATTTATAAATGTATAATGAGTTTTTTAGTAAATTAAATTGAACCCCTATTCTGGTTAGATTACTATTTATATTAATTTTCAATAAAAACTTCCTAATAGATTAGAAGATTATTAATATTAATACAAAATTAACTAAAGTTCTATTATTATGTTTTCTGATTTAGACTTAAATAAGTATAATTAAATTTAAACTATTGATATTATTATTTATGGAAATGAATTATCAAATTATGAATTTAACCTTCAACCTTTACAATATATTCCAAATATTCAATAAAATTTTAATTATTAAGGGAGGATTTATAAAGATCAAATACTTTAATTTGAATTACATGTAAGATCTGATACTTTGAGGGGTAAACTTAATCTAGAAATTGAATCTGAAAACAATAATGTAGTCATTATTCTACGTAGAAGTAATCATACAAATGAATAAATCTCAAAAAACGACATTATAAATATGGATAAACTTTAATCTGATATTCCAACTAATTTATTTATCTTCACAAAAAATAATTAATAAAATCTATCCTTTGAACTTGATTTTCCTATTATAGCTCATAATGTAGATATTGGAATGTATTCAGTAGGGCTTTTTTTAAACTAAACTGAAAAATAATATAGCTCTTATTCTTTTATTATTAGAGGTGATCAATAGTTTAAAATTCTCTTAGATAACACTCCTTATAAAAGTACAATAAAAAAAGAGTCTTATTCGTATTTTTAGTATATATTGATTCCAAAAGAAAATCTTTAGTAAATACAAATAATGTTAACATCTATTTAAGGTTTACCTATATTATATTCATCAACAATAGAGTTTCCAAAAATTACTAATTATGAATAAATAGGGGAAAATAATATTATTACTTATGATTTTAAAGAAGCCATAAATAAGAAACAAATATTTTTTATTTCAGTCTATTGTAAGACAGCAAGTTATTTTACTATTACAGTTATTATAAAAACTACTAATGATTAAGATAATATAGGTATTTATCCATGGGAATATACTCAAATATTTTAAGGAGATTCTTAATTTCATGTACTAAATTCTAATGATAATTAATCTGTGGGTTTATTTAAGATAGATCTGGTAGAATAATTGGATAATCGTATGAATTAACATAATAAAAAAAAAAAAATGTTTAGTATTCACATTTTATCACCTTTAGGAGGGGTTATGATGTATGGATTTGTTAGTCCTTCATCAAAAAAAGAAGGTTTTATTTGGTAAGATCCAAATGAAATATAAGTATATTTTAAATAATTAAATGGTGAATAAAGTATATTTTTAAGGGTTGAATTATAAGAGCATTATAACTATTCCTCCTATAAAATAGGTCTACAATTCTCAAATTGGTATAACTAAAATTTATAAGAAATAATGGAAAATGAACATTACTTTGGTTATAATGAAGCAAAAGGATAATTGATGTTATCATTTAGATATTAGTAATTGCAAGATTATACAATTACAAAACATTCAGATGAATAAGCTGTAAGAATATCAGTCCTTTTAAAAAATGATACGTTATCGTCTAGTGAATCTACATTATTAATTCCTAGAGAGAAAATAGAAAATTAAAATTGCTTAGATAAAAATAAAAAATAAAATTTTTGCTTTTTATTAATTCAAATATCAAGTATCTAAGCAAGTTTTTTTACATTAATTATATCTCATGAAAATAATTAGATCTCACTTCATATGGATTAAATTATTCATTAAAAACTTCCAAAAGAAAGTGATCATTATTATTCATTTGTTGATGATAGAGATTCCAATATTATTGTAAGAAATCTTAATGAAAATGTTTAATTATAACTTTTAGTTACACTTTTCTCCCCTTAATCTTATGAAATTAATAATTTTGATTATCCTTATCCTTAAAATGAATCTTCATTAAATTTATTCAAAATTTCTAAAAACTTTAAAAAATTTAGTACTAGCTCTATCTCAATTTATCAAGAAGAAATTAGAAAAGAAACAGTTTGTTCTCATAAGTGTATGATAGGAATAACAATTAGGAAAATTCCAAATTTCAATTATACAATTAATGAAAATAGCATATATTCAATAATTTATTCATCAGGTAGTAGATAATTATCTTTAAAAAGTTATCTTCCTGGTAAAATAACCAAAGGATATATAGCTTTTTACAGTATAATATAAAAAAAAGAAAATGTAAAATTAATTATATTATTGGAAGAAAGCAATCAATGCGATGCTACTTTAATTATTTCAAAAGATGAATTTCCTAGTTAAGAGAAGTATGATTGGATTTATCATCATTTAGATTAAAAAAATATATCAATTACAAAATAAAATAATATGTATGAAAGCATGATAGGAGTTTATTATGTAGGTGTATTGGGAAAAGAAGAGTGTCACTATTATATAACTTATTATTTGTCAGATTCTATTGAAAAACAAGAAGAAAATTAAACTGAAGATGATAATTTTACAATTCCATATCTTTTGAATTAAAACTAATTAAAAAGAGTTACTTAAATTGATTCAATAATTTGGTAATTTAATTGTAAACATTTAGGAAGATTAATCATACAATTATAATATCTTTCCTAAAATATCATTATAAAAGGTAGTTATAATAATTACACATTTAATTAAGACTCTACTTAAATTGTAACAATTTTTAAGAACGACTTTTAAATAATTGGATATTTTCCAATCGAAAAAATAGGTTATTACTATTTTTAAACTTCTTTAATAAATAATGCTAAGGATTCTAATTCATTATAACAAATGTAAATAAGAGCAACCTTGATTAACGAAGATTCAAATTTACCAATATATACAAGTTATATTAACAATTAAATTCAAGAAGTCATTATTGGCACAGAAACTATAATTAAAACAAATCCATTAAAAATTGATTTTTTGAATTCATCATTTTAAGTAGAACAAGTAAAATATATTCTCTTATCTGATAATTTAAATGTAAATCATAATTAAGTCTATTTTTAATAAATAAGCGATACTAGAGCTAACCTAATTTCTTCAAAAAGATAACTTGATTAAAATATATCCTTAAGTTGCTCCAATTTTTGTGAGAGTAATACTGTATATTCAGTTCATGCAATAGGTAATTAAGTTAATTAAATTTAGTGACTGTAACTTTATTTAATATGGAGAAAATTGATTTGGATTATTTTTATGATAAAATTGTTGTTGAAATCAAGGAAAGAACAGATCTATATTATTATTTAATTACACTTATATTTTTAACAGTTATAGGGATTATTACATTTATAATAATGGCGAAGAAATGGAAAGAAAGGAAGAAGTTTTCACTTGTTAGAAATGTATAATAGAACTCAATAGAAATGATATTTAAAAATGTTGATTAATGAAAAATATTATTTTAATTATAATCATTATCAAATTATTGATTTTCTTAATTGAAATTTAGTATTAAAAAAATAAAAATTAACATGAATTAAAAAATTTATTTGAAATAGTATTAGTTCATTTTTTTTAATATTCTTATAATTATTTCTTTTTAATTTTCTACCACTAATTTTAATTCCCATCTAATATTGTAAAAAGCTATATAATTAAGATAAATGTAGCTTATTAGAGTAAATGAGATACTGATTAGATATAGTATGCATGAAACAATTACTATTTATAAATTGAAACGAATTTAATAGTTCAGTATAAAGCCTAATACTCATAGAGAGTGGATCTAAGTTGATTTTCTATTACTTAAAAAGTTGCCATCATAATTAGAACTTTCTCCATTCAATTATAATTAGAACTTTTTCCGTTCAATTAATTTAAACATTTGTATTAATCTATGTTTCAGCCAATCAAGCACTAATGTTACCTAAAGTAGCTTCAAAAAACTTATTTTTAGTAAGTTATGCTCCTTAATTAATTTCTAGTTAGCTATATTGGAATAATGTTAATTAGAAGTTTTCCAAAATAATTCATTTGAATTTATATATATATATTTATTTTTTTGTGAGAAATCATTGAAGAGGCAGAGTTTTCAAAAATGAAATAATAGATCATACCAAATATTATAAATAAAAAGTTTACCTAATTGGTTATCAATTTTAAGATGGTAATTAAAATCTGTTGGTAAAGATAATTGAATTAAAAAGAATTAAAAAGAATTCTTAAATATTGCAAGAGAATTTCTTTAAAATTCATAATTTTTTTGCTGGCTTGATAATAAATGAATTGTAAAATAAAAAAATTATCATATGATTTAAATTATATTATTTAATTTTTATATGATTAATCAACAAATGAAACCAAAGAAAGTTTATTTGAATTATAATTTCATAAAGAGAGAATTTCAAACAGAAAGAACTATAGTTTAAACGAGGACTTGCTCAGTTATTGATAAACCTGCAAAAAGTTAAAGAAATAGTTTATTAAGTTTAAGTGTAGATAGTGGTAAATCAAATAAAATTCATTGTTTAAAGATTAGAAAATATGGTTATTTATTTTATGTAGATGAAAATGGTCTTAATGATTATGTTAAGTTTAATTTTAAGTAGATATTAGAGTCATTTACAAAAAATTGTATACCTAATTTATTGAATGAATAAACATATAGTTTATTTTTACCTTATTCATAATCATTTTCTTTTTCTTAAAGTAGATTTTAAGGAGAATAGTTCACAAAAGTAAAAGATGTTTAATAGTTAATAAATTTGTTCCATTAACTCAAAATAAGTGGAGAAGAATATTAAGTATAAATTAATTGATATGATTAATAGATATAAAAAATATTTGATTATTTTTTTGTACCATCAAAAGAACTAGCAATTTAAGTAATCAATGATTTAAAGTTCTAATTAGCAAAGATGATTAATAAACCAATATCAATTATATCTTTTTTTGATGGTGTAGAAATTAAAAATGCCTGTTAATTAGGTTGGAATCCTCCAACTCTAGTTTGTGCAGAATCAAAAGATGTTCTTATTAAATAGTTACCAAAAATCAAAGAAAGCATTAGAATAAGTAAGAGAATCAAATAATTATAAAATTTTAAATAATAAATGATACAATAATATTGCAAACAAGAAATGGCAATAAATTATTAGAGTAGTTCAAAAAAATAAGAATTAATTAGATAAAATTTAAAATAAATTAAGTAAATTCAATAATTAGTTGAATACTAAAAAGAGTATGATATATAATTACCAAAATTGGTTGTCTAACATATCAATCCAAAGTTTAAAATTATTTAGCCAAAATAAGAAATTCAAGATGATTTAGATAAATAGATAGAACATCTCAGTTTAGATTAAATTAACTATATAAAAGAAATTAATCCAAAATTAGATAACTTTGAAATTTATAAGTACTATATTGATTATAAATCATTATGTATGCTAAACATAATTTAAAATGGAATTCCAATGAAATATTTTGTAATTTACAATGATATCCTTAGTGGACATTGTTAGAATGAATTGCTTAAAATTTACAGAGCTCTTGGTGTTAATGTAGATGTAAGCTATAAAAAAATAATCTAAGAGTGGTATTTTCAGATGGAAAGAATATTTGTTATTTAGAATATTGTAAGATAACTGTGCAAATTCTAGCCAAGTAATATAATTCTTGCTTCACTATTTTATGAATGATAACTAAGAATTAAACGAGTAATCTGTGAGAATACAATTATATTAGTTATCATAGAGATTGAATCAATATTCCTAAACTAAATAAGAATTTATCAAAAAAGCCATGAAATCCTTAGATTCCACAGAATCAAGTAATACATTTGCAGATAGATTTGCTCTAACAATAATCAAGTGGATGCACAAAAATGGTTTCTTTGTGAAGGGCTAACTTAATAAAGAAATAATGTTGTAATAATATGAAAAAAACGAATATACATTTTTATTTATAATAAATTGTATATTAGGGCAATTTAAAACTAATATACTTGAATGGTTTTATAATATATATTGAGCATTATTACATAACCATGTAAAAAATAAATAATTATTTATTATAATAACGTCAATTTATACCTTTCATTTTTTTATTATTATTATTTCTAATATTTATTATGCAAATTTTCTTTGGAATCTAATTCCCTAATGAATTTTTATTCTATAAAATAATCATTGAAAAATTTTTTATATAAATCATCATTTATAGGTAAAGTAATTAAATTACTGTAAGAAATGTTATTTATATATATTTGATAAAGAAAAAAATCCCCAATAATCTCCAAGCTAAAAGTCACAATTATTGTTTTATTTTTAAAGATGATATAAAATTTATACCACAAAATTCATTTATTAAATTATATATCGTTTAATCAGATTATTTTCTTCATTTTTCTCATTATTTAATTATTTTCAATATCAAATTTATGTTGATAGTTATTAAATTTAATAAGTTATTTTCGAAAAATATTTAGTGATTTTGAATGGTTAATTAATTCATTCAAATTTTTATTGCAAAATGCAAATAATGTAATTTAAAGAAAATAAATTTTAATGAAAATTTGTTGAATTCAAACTATTTAAAATAAATAAATTCAGTATAAATTGTGTTTCATAAACATCAAAGTAATTTATTAAGGTTAAATTATTATTTAAAATATATTCTAATATATCTTTTTTGTTGTTAATATTTAATATTCATTTATGAGTTTATCCAAATTATTTTACTATTTCTTTGTATTGTTAAAAGTCAAATTTATTTATTGGGTTTTAATATCATATAATTAGGTTTCATAATGCAACTAAACGATTAACTTTTTAAAATACAATTTGGCTCAGTTTATTTATTGATCAGTGAATATATTGCATATATTTTCAACAATTTAGTAACCATAATATTTTTTTGATAAAATAGTTTTATAAAGCAATAAAAGAAGATACTCATTTATAAGTTTTTTTTTTATCTTATTAAATGTAAACTATCTAATAAATGGGCTTTTTGAAATATTTTTTATAAAGAGTATTTGAAAAAGAAAAATTAATGAAGTCATTCTATTTTTTATTAATATTTAATGTAAAATTTTCTGAAAATTTACTTAAAATATAAAAATAGAAATAATAAATAATATTTTGTGAATAATCAAACATTTAGTTTTTAAATATTTTTGAGATTGTATGATTTAAGATTATTAATGATGAAAAAGTATTGTGTAAAATAAAAGGATATTTAGATAATAAATTGCTGATTATAATACTTTTTGATTTATAAATTGAATATAAATATTAAAATAAATTAACTTAAAAATTATCATACAATATAAGCAGAGCAGTATTTGATAATTTTTGTAAAAATTTTATAAAAAATAATGATGAAATAAGACTTAGAGAAGAATATTTGGGAATGGGTTCCTTGTCACTATGATGTAAAGAGAATAGTAAAGGATACTCAAACTTCTTGGAATTTGAGTCCATAAATATCATTAAAGATTCCAGCAGAGAATGGGACAATAGATCCAGTTATAAACATCAAGATTGATTAAAGCAGACCTTTCATATACTCAGATAATTTAGGATGGAATTGGCATAAGAGTTGGAACCTTCCAGATATTGGTTTGGAAATGGAAGTATTATTTATTTATAGTAACTTTAAATAGATTACAGACCCGTTGACAAATGAACGTCTTGCCCCTCCTAATAATATTTATGTACCAATTTCTATTATAGAAAGTGTAAATTGTAAATAGTAAAGCCGATCATAACTCCAATGAAGACTCATCATCTTTTGGAAGTAGGTGCCAAAGGAAACCTTAAAGTTGATATGGAGAATGGGAAATGTATATTCTCTGGACTTAAATTTAACACCACTTCTTATAATCATGATGTATCATATTTCAAAATAGTATCAGCATTAACGATTCCATATAGTAATTACATTGTACTTGTGTTAGAGTAAGTTTGAGTTTCCTCAAATCTTAGATTCTCGTATCTCTCCTCCTATTTTTGTAGATTCACGTAAATCTGCTAGAGACATTGTTAAATAGAAGGTAAAAATTTAATTTATTATCAATTAGATCTAAAAATTGCAATCTTATTTTGACCCATTTTAACCGAACAATTTAGAGAAATAATTTTTAATTATCAAACCATCTAATTCTGAAGTCATTAAAAATTCTATAGATGGTCTTATTAATTATTTTACTGCTCCAAATATTAGACATAAAGTAAAACATCCTATTTTCTTGCTACTTAAGTTTAGTGCTTGTATATAGTTATATGTAAACTCCATCAAAATTAAATTTACAGAAGTAAGCTTATTAATATTATTTTAGCCTGATAATCTAATTTAAACATTATAACATGTTCTTTCTACTAGCAATGCATTGTAAGGAATTCAAAAGATTGAACAAAAACTCATTCTATTATATATTGATTGTAAAACTAATGAATCCAAATCTTAATAGAATTTAAAAAAAATTTAAGAATTTCTTGAACCTCTCAATAATGATTGCGTTTAAGTTATTATGGATATCAATGATGTGCCTAAAGGATTTATTCTAATTGAAAATTTAGTAATTCTTCACCTACATTATAGGATGAAATGCAATAAGCCTATCACAGAGTTTATAATTCTTTATTGAAATACAAAAGGGAAGATGATTAATATGATCAAGAATAATTAGAAGAAGAGTATAATGCTAAAATTCCTGAAAAAAAAAAGAAAAAAGAACTTAAAGAACCTGAGTAATTAGTGAATCCAGAAAGAATAAGAAAAATCATCCATATTTCAGGTAATATTCCAAATCAAAGTCCAAATTCGATGCCTGAACAAGATAGTGTATTTTTTATATATTATTATCTATAGAACCAAATCAAAATGGAACAATTCTCTTTACCAAATAATATTTCATCAAGACTTTAAACCTAAGAATAATCCTAATAATATTTGCAGTAATAATAATTGCAATAATAATAACTATCACAGAATTTAGCCTTCAATCCAATGTCATTATGGTTATATCTATAAAAACTTCCTTCATGAATTATAAGATTTTAATTATCAAATATATTTTTAATCACGAAGAATACTTGCTTAACTTAATTATCTACTTAATATCTTTCTAGTTTAATCAATCGTTTTCTCTATTGGAGTTTTTACTTCTTAATAATCATCATATCTATCATTTATTTCTATTTATGGTCTTTGCATTCTCATTATTGAAGAAGGAATTGCAATTACCTCCGACTAATCTCTTAATCTTTCTGGTATCATTTCTAAATTTGTTTCTCTTTCTTTAAACATATCCCTCATTTAAGATACATTATAACTTTAATTTTTTGTTGTTGATATTCCTTTTCGAAATTCAATTAACTATTTTTCTGCTTCCATTTACACATTATTTTTTCTTATTTCTATTTTACTTATATATGTAAATTCATTTTGTAACTCACTTAATTTGGTTTCAAACTATTTCAAATCCATTTATTTTTATTGAACTTCTTTTCTTATTCTCTCTATTTCTACTCTTGATTCCCTTATACTTTACTCTTTAATTTATTTAACTTATATATACATTTAGCCATTTCTTATAATGATGATAAATTATTATCTTTAGAATGAACAAGTTCTTTATATGTTATCTCTATTAGTTTTAACTCATCTTATAAATTTTATATTTATTAATTAGTATTAAATTGATTTCTTAATACTTGATTAATTTCTTTCCAACAAAGTTACAAATTTAAGTTTGGTACTTTTTCAATCAAACTTTATAACATATTAGTAAAATACCAATCATGTAACTAAATAAACTTTTTCAAGTACACCTATAAATCTTATAGCTCTTGCTCTAATTATAAATAACTAGCCTTCTAATTCACTTATATATCTCTGCTCTAAGAAATTCCTCTTCTAAAATAAATATTTTCGAAATTTACAAATATCCTATCTCAGCTTCTTACTTGGCATTTTCCTCTTCCAAAATCAATACTCTTTATTCCAATTCAACTATTAATTATTACAATTTTCTTGTTTCTTCTTATTTTAATTTGAATACTTCAAAATTAGATGAACTTGTTTTGTTTATATGAATATTTACAGATATTTATTCTCTTATTTTAAGAGTTTTATTTCTAAAAATGATTCCTTTAATTACTACTCTAATTCTTTTTAACATGATTGATATAGATAAAATCTATTGTTTTCCATAGCTGTTAAATTAATAAATATAATTCAAAATAAAAAATTATCTTTATCTCTTTCCTAATTCAATCTTTCTATTTCATTAAATAATAAGAGTAATAGACATTTACAATTTATTAATTTTCTTTCAACATCAACAACTTCATTAACATTTTGATCTTAAACCCAATAATTCTATTTCATTTTCCTTGTTTATTCTTATTTGCTTTTCTAATTTTTAAGTTAATACTTTCCCCTAAAAAAGTATTAATTAAATAAATTACTCTTTCTTCATTCAATTTATCATTTTTTATTAGTTTCATTAAACTCATCTCATTTTTTGTTTCTAACCTTTTTTCCTTTAACTAATCAATTTCTTAAATCAGTATCATATTTTATAATTTTTATTTTCCTGAATTTGATTCACTTAAAAATTTTTATTTCTATTCATATTCTGATAATTTAAATTTAAATTCAGCAATTTCATTATTTCTAATACTCACTAAATTTGTTAATCTTCTATTTTTCATCCTGCAACTTAAAAATATCATCTTATACTTCAAGTTTTTTATTATTATCATTAATCTATTGTTTATTATTTTAAAAAGTATTCTTTTAATAAATCAAAAATTTCTTCCTTTCTCTCTATTAATATTTTATAAAGTCTTTCAATTTCCTCTACTAATTATATAAATCTGATTTCATACTTTTGTCATTAATCAAGTAGTTTTTAATCTATTATATTAAGGGTTATTACAGTATCTAATTAAAGATTTAAAAAATTTTTTAGTTAACTTATAACTACGCGTAATTTATAGAATTATGAATAATTAGAGGTTAATTAAATTGAGTTTTGAAGAAAAGAAATTATCTGCCAAAATTAATCCAGAAAATTATTAGAATTGAATTTATTATTATTCCAATATATTTTATGTTATGAATTCTTTTGTTAAATCTAATTCAGTTTTTAACTTTTAAATTGCTTATTTCAATAAAGGAATTGATGTATTTGTTGCATCTAAAACTTTTTATTGTTAATTGATGATTTCTTGGAGGTCGCTATTGCTGTGGTTTTTTTCAATATTATCCGATATTAATTTTTATTACCTTTAAATTTCATTTTTTAATTAATTACAATACTGAATTATTATTTTCTATTTATTCCTAAAGTAATTATGAATAATTAAACTTTAGTCTTTTATTAGATAGTAATTAATATTAACTTTATCTTTCATTTACTAAATTTTTAGTTAGCATATTATTTTAATAATCTATTAGCATCATCCTTTTAGGAAGATGATTCTAATTGTTCTTTTAAATAATCTTTCTCTTTCTTAGTGGCATTTATTTATAATAAGAGTTTATCACATTCATATTGAGTAATGAGAATTTCTTATTCAATACTTGATTAGCTT